CGTGCAGTTACATAAATTATTGTGTTGTTAATTTTTACATAAAAAACAGGCGTTATGAGGCAATGAAGGCGCGGTGTTTACATACGTCAAAGACCTAGTTGTCTTCGATGACGAGACCGTTCGATGGTCGGCGAACTTCTTCACTTCTGGTTTGGCACCCGATGAACAATGTATTACTTTAACTTGATCTCGAACGAAAGATGCCAAAGATTCAAATTATAGTAATTCAGAGCCACGATTCTCCATTTCAAACGAACGCACGGTTTCCGGGTATAGCTTTTTAATGCAATATGTAGAAACCCGAAGTCCATAAGGGCTGTTTGTTTCTTTAAGAGCAGTATTATAAAAAAACGCGAAATTACAAGGTTTCCTCGTTGAAATTATATGTTTTCCGTTCGTTGCTTGAAATAAAAATAAAAAATAGTTCGTTTTCTCTACTATAATAACCTCAAGGCAAATTTTTAGATAACTTATTTATTTATTTAGTAATAATCATTCTCCCGATGCATGTTTAGGCCAAAACTCTGACAGACATGATTTGGGAGCTCTAATTTGTAGATTCTATTGAATCTCGATCATCAAAAAAAATATTTTTATCTCACAAATATCCTATACTTTAATAATAATAAAATACATTTTCGTTATATGCCTTTCACGTAAGGAAAAAAAATTGATATAATTCAATTATCTACCGAAAAAGCTTCGATACATGCCCCAATATCTCCGAGGTTCTACATCATTTTGAAGTAAAATTTATACCAATATATTAAAATAAATTTATACCAACGTTTGCTTAAACTATACTGTGATTTGTACTTTTTAAACGTAACTGTTATTTTTTAATTAATTAAATAAAAGTATCATATATTTCACTGCGTCGGCCATCTGAATTCACTACAGCGCCAGCGGCTCTCGAGGTCGGATATGTGTCAATTTATTTCGTGCGCTCCGTCTCATTTCGATATTATCGTAGTGTGCGGCGATGACCGTGGCGCTGCTATTTTGTGCTAGAGTATCGTCAACTACGCCCGCAATTTTCGATCGTTGGAAGTATTTACTTTCGTACAGTGTATTTCAATTAGTATAAATTTCGCACTAATATGCGAACTTATCATTATACCAGATAGATTACTCATTTGATTGTAGCTGAGCTTTCTTAATAGTCGGAATGGGGGGAAATAAATACAAGTATCAATGTGTTACTAAAAGTAAAAGAAGAAATATCCCATCTCTGGAGAAAATATAATTGAGAATAACAAAGTTCGCATGCTTGCCATACGGACTGCCCTAGATTATGCAGTAAACGTACTAAAAATCTACAAAGACGACAAATTTTGAATTTTGAATATGTTACCCAAGTTACAAGCGTTTTATAAAAAGTGTTTACTACCTGAAATTATCGACTCGAGGTAAGCTCGGTCAATGCCGTTGCGGCAAATATCTTTATAATAAAAAATATGGTAATTGACTGTAAGTACCGATTAAAAAAATATTAGTTGCAGTTGGTTATTTTATTTATTAAAAAGGTTGCAATCGTTTTATTTATTTATTTATTCTCTTTATTTATTTCATCATGCTGTTTCATGCTACCATTAATAGATATAATCGATTATTAACCAACACTGGTTAACATTCGATTACTGTGAAACAATTAAAATATTTATGTGTACTTATTTCAACATTAAGGTTCATAAATAATGAAAAATATATCAAATAGATTATAATAAATTAATTAGATAACATAAAAATTATACTCCAAAAATTTTCCATCCACCGACCTCTATTCTGAGAAAACTTGTATAATGGAAGATCAAGATCGTTTAGTCACTATACTCACAGTACCATAGTGCGAGCGACTGAATAGAGATATACAATAAAATATCGCTCTCCGTTCAAACCGATACATTTGTGCTACAACCATAATATTGCCGCAGCATGGCTCTATCACGTATAAATAAGTCTGTAATAGTTGACATGCTTGGCAACCGCAGTTTTTTAATAGTTTTTTTTGGTATCAGAAAGGAGCTGCCGCCCATTTTCTGTCCCAATTTCCTCCTATCGCCTCTTACGACATCTACAGGAAGATAAGTAAAGTTGATCACCTACCCTAATCGATAAACGCAACTACACGGCTATTTGAAACAAGTGCTCCGATGGTGATATAAGAAGTTAGTCATTTTGCTGCTGAGGCGCCTTGAGACTTGGTATACTATCGTCATCGTCTGCCTGATGGCAAAAATGGCAATGATGGATCTCCTTGTTAAAAAATAAAATCGGCTTTGGTTTTTAACACCGCTATATCATACTATAACATATCATAACTGCCAGTAGTAGTAATAGTTGTGCCACATTATTAATTCTTAGTTAATTATTTACATTTAAACTTCTTCTTAGTTTGTGTATTTTACTATTGTAAATCATAATATAAGCTAACAGGAAAAAACTTGTAGGTTAGGGATCATTTAATTTAAAACTGCACGCAGCACCCTTATTATTTTGTTTGATTTACATTTAACGTATTAAGTGTTTTACGTTACATCTAAATCTACGCTGTTTTGTTATGAATTATTAGATTTGAACATTTTTTTTAATTTAAAATAATAAGGGTGATAAAATACACCAAAATACAAGGAAGGTGCGCGCAGTTTTAAATTACATGTGATTGTAATGTCTTTAAGGAAAACCTTTTTAAGTAATTTAATTTATTAAGTTGTTGAAAGACACTTTTTTTAGCATTTTCCGAATAAAATTATAATATATTTTTGGCAATACGTATGTATGTAATTACTCTAGGTCTAAAACTAAAATATTTTTTGGGCGGGATTTTTGGCGGGAACTTGGCTGTCGACGGATTGTCGCTCCTGTTTTGTCGCTTGAATATTGGTTTGAAGTGGAGTTTGATTCGTAAAAGTGATGCGATTTTTTTTAAATTAAGTATCTTCGCGTGTGAACTACTAGAGAAAACGACGAAACAAGTGCTTTGATGTTGATATAATACCTCAAGTTATTTTGATCGCTTGGGTGCCTTACGTACTTGAGTGACTTTTTTTTTTATAGGATAGTGTGACAAACGAGCACACAGTCCACCTGATGGTAAGTGGTTGCTGCGGCCCATAGACATCTACATCTATCTTCCATTACAAATCAAAATGCAGATGCGTTGTCACCCGTGAGGACTGAGATGGAATACCTCATTTCCAGTAAAAAGGGTCTCCGGTTCTCTACACTTACCATACGAAATACAGCAGCATTAAGCTACTATTTCACGCTGGTATTCTGTGAGAGCTTGGTCCTTCCCCGGTCGAGCCGACCCATTCGTGCTACAACTATACTACTAATATAATTGCAGCATGGCTCTACCACGTTAAAAACTGTCGTCAAAATCTCCCAAAACCTTCGCAATGTGACGCATCAGAATATTGTGAAGCATAAATATATAAAAACGAAGATTACGAAAGAAATGATAAGCTCAGAAGGGCAAGAACCCAGAGCCGTAAAGTCGGTTAAATAAAAAAATATTACAGCAGTGTTGCCAACTTTACGGGTTTCCCGTTAGATTTAAGAGGACAGCGAGGTTGGCAACGGGAAAAATTGTGTTTAACGGCTAACGGATTTTTTAACGGGACTACAAAAATTTATGTTTTATTTAGATTTGTTTTCGAAGTAAAAATAATTTGGAAGCAAAAATTAAATTATAATTGTATTAATTTTTTTAGTTAAAAAATACGAAAAAATGTGCAATATAATGAATAACACTTGTCTACCGTACTTAACGAGATTTGACGGGATTATAATGTTCTCCTCTTTTTTTTTGTTTTTTTTTTGTTTGTTAATTTGATTCTTTGTCTACGGTTCTCCACTAATGGTGGTTAATATAACGCATAGCGCCATATTGACGTGTGACGCAAATTTGATTTAGTAGCACGCTATTCATCGCGCGCGACCTAATTTAGTGTTAGACATTGTTTGGTTAGTGTATACTGTATATTCATCCATAAGTGATCGAAGGACACAGTTGTTTGCTATAAAAGAAGCCTAACTAATGTTTTTAAATGTAAATAAAATAAACACACTAAAGTGTATATAATAGTGTATGTAAATAGTAGATTTTTATAAATACAATCAAAAAACTTTTAAAGACGCCTTTTTTTGATTTATAATTTATATTAAGGTTAAAATAACGGTTACATCAATTATAATAAAAAATAATTAATTTTATTTCGTTTTAAAAAGTACATGCCTTAAAAATATTTTTAGGATTATAGAATGTCGTAAGCCTGAAAAGAATGAAAAAGCATTCATTGGTTTTTCTTTACCGCTTTATTTTATTTTAAGTCTAAAACTTAAGGCGACTTATTACGAAATAATGTTCTTATATAGCACGCGGTCTATCCAATGAACGATATGTAATGTAACGTGCTACGAGATATAGCGTGCTGCATAACTTAACGAGCTTGCCGGCCTCCTAAACGCTTACTTATAAATAACACGCTATAACATAGCGTATTTAATAGCGCGCTAGATATTTATAGTTTATAGTCTTTAGCGTGCTATCGATTTATAGTCGTTTTGAACAACTTTATTCTCTACAACGGGAGCTAGATTTTAATGTTGGCAACACTCGATGAAAGTCAAAAACTGATTACTACTAAATGGTCAAAAATATAAAATACGTACCAGACGTACATACATATTTTATTTTAAATTTAAAGGGCTGTAGTGTTATTCTCTTGTTATTCTCTCTTTATTTGTGATAATAGCGATTAATTTATGTACGACTTAAGTGACTATAATGAATTTTGAATACTAACTAAATGTAATTATTGACAGTGGAGTAATATAGAGTTGGTAGATTTTTTAAAAATATTTCTTGAATTATACCGTATTGAATCACATTAAATCACAACAATATATAGTCACGAAAAATGGAAAAGAAAGTTGTAATATCTGCTGCTAGGCAGGCTCTTGTTTGTTTCTTTTTTTCTAATGTTACATTAATCATGTGTTTTCTATCTGGAGAAGTTCTTGGATCTACATCAGAGCTTTGGGCTCTAAAGTATTGGGGTCCAGCATTCTACTTTTGCTTGATAAACTTTATACTTAAATACCTCTATAAAGGATTCATTTATGAGGTAAGTGCCATAAATTAATTTGAGTAGTAGATATCTATAAAAAAATCTCTTCCCTAAATAATACATATTTAGTTCAATTTCAATTTACTGTGAATGTAAACATGTTTAGGTTCAGCCACTTTTTTATAGAAATATTTTACAAAAATTATTTAACAAAATATTTCAATACCTTAAACATTATAAATTGTGCAACACATAATCTATACATAAGAGAGACCAAGGCTTCGACTTTGGCTTGGGCCACCTTCAGCCTTAAAATGTAACTTCAACTGCATATTTAGTCTTCAGCCAAAATCAGCTGAAAGGTTGATTTGAGCCAAAGTTTTAATTAAACAATTAAAAACAAAGAAAATATATTAATAACAATCACTCTCTTTGTGCTGTTTCACCAATGTCAATAGTAAACAATTTATTCATTCATAAACAATGTCTTAAAATTAAAGAGCTTATTTACATGTTGTAAATATCAGTAAACTATTATTTTTAGCATTATATACTAGCGATCCGCCCCGTTTTGATCTTAACAGCAACACCACCAACGGGGTCCAATTGTGAATCTAAACCATTCTTGAATCAAACACAAAATTTCATGTAAATCAGTCCAGCTGTTTGGGAGGAGTATTCAGTCACATACACATTGTAGCGTCCACCACTTGTAGGCAATTTTTATACATTATGACAGCGAATATTGGTCCATTAAATAATTTCAAGGATAGTGTTTAACTCATTTCTTTGAAAATTTACCATATGTCTATATACAAATATTCATATATTGGCAGACGGAGGGAAACCAATCAGGACTCCCTTCCATATTACCAATTATCCAGAATCCCTGTAATATACATAGTTTTTAATTTATTCTCCTGCTTAACGCAATTCCTTTGTATGGTGCGGCGTTGCCACTCTTATTAGTTATTCCGCTTTGTAATATTTTATTTATAGGTGATATTTGTGTTATATGTATATATATATATATGTTAATTTATAGGTGTTTATGTACCTAGGTACTCGATAGATTCCTATAGTTTGTTTTTTCGCAGGAGATAAAAATAACAGATCTTTATTAGGTAGATTCGTTTAGCACAAATAATAGTTTTTATGATTCTGGTTCAGATTAGATTTAATTTTAGTCACTTAAGTTTCATATATTGCTCAAAAAATAAATCCACAGAGTCTACAGTTACGAAAAATATGCAATATCATTTTTGTCTCCGGCGAAAAAAAAAACAGATAGATATCATTATTAATTTACCAACTATTTATTCGTTTACTAAATACGAAAAAATATCTAGGATTGCCCAGCCGTGATCATTATAGATTGACTATATTATTATTTATTTTACTATTGTAAATAAGTACTAATTGTAGACATTGACAGGTTGTTAATTTCTGTGGCGTATTGTTGCTGACATGAATAACTCCGAAAATATAATTTATTTACATACTTGCTCATATTGAGTTTTGGTGCTCTCACTGCGAGTTTACGTTTTATGATCACTATCTTATGGATGAGTGCGAATTATTTACCTAATCTGTACAAAATTACTCTCTACTTAACTAGATTCATTTTTGTGAAAGGCTGTTTTTGTTAAAATTATGATATTATGTTTGGTTTTGCAGTTAATTGAAACACAATTTGTTTGTATTTGTTGTTGTAAATATTGGACGCTATATTACTAAAAACATGCATATTGTGCTCTAATTGGCATCCGTATTGTGACCTATGCACATTGAGAACTTTCCACGCTTATGCTTGCTTGCATTTAAGTTTCTTTGGTTATATTTAGTAACTTGGGTAAATAAACTTGTGTATGTTGATTAATGTACTTGACATGGACATTGAACGGAGTATTTACCCATATATGGATGTAAGAATATCCTAAAATATTCACACTAAGTTTTATTTGATGTCCACTTCTTTGATATCCAATGTCCAAATTTATTGTTGATTATTGCATTTTACTATTTATTTATTGTAATTATTTATTAGTGCTCAAGGCATATTTTGGTATTTTTTGTCGGTGTATACTATACTCAGTGCTAGTAGATAATTTTACTTTCCAATTTGTTTTCGTCTCCTTAAATTTAGCTACATATAATAATATGGACGTGCGAATATCTTAAAACATTCATACTGAATGATATTTGACGTCCATATTTTTTAATTTTGTTATATTTCTATATGTGGACGTCAGATTATCGGTAAAGTTTCATACCGCACGATATTTGACGTCCATATAACCATGAATATATTTATATTTTAATTTCTTGTGTATAAGACACATTACTACTAAAATTACTACCTGTGTACACATAATAATATGGACGACCGAATATCCTAAAAAATTCATACTGAATGATATTTGACGTCCATATTTTTGAATTTTGTTATATTTCTATATGTGGACGTCAGATTATCGGTAAAGTTTAATACCGCACGATATTTGACGTCCATATAACCATGAATATATCTATATTTTAATTCCTTGTTTATTAGACACACATTAATGATCATTGCATTAATGACATTTTTCGCTACTGTTTTATTCGTATTTTAGTGTAGGGAGGCCATGCGGTATAAAATAGTCATTTTGGTGTTTTATAAAATGTTTCTTCTAGAAATGATAAAACGCTTATAAGCTTAGAAAACGTGTGGGAAAAATTTAATTCTATTTCAACTAACTGCAAAACCAAACATAATATTATCATAGTTTAACAAAAACAGCATTTCACAAAAATGAATCTAGTTAAGTAGAGAGTAATTTCGTACAGATTAGGTACAATAGTTGCACTCATCCTTAAGATGCAGTGAGAGCGCCAAAACTCAACAAGATCAAGTAAATAAATTATATTTTCGGAGTTATGTCAGCAACAATATGCCACGGTCTATTGTAGAAATTAACAACCTATTGGCAGTTAATGCAGTAAAACCTTATATTAAAATGAGTTTTTTCGCCATATTAGGTTATTAGTCAGAGGTTATTAGGCACAATATAATAAAACAAACTTCTATGAAACCTGTCAATATCTACAATTGAGTCCATCTTCCTGTACTCAATCAGAAAGTAACTTATACTCAAACAGAATTATAGGTTGCTTCTTCAGAGTTCTTTTAGGCAGATTAGTACCAAATGTAAAACGTTAAAATATAGTGCAGCATGAAATAAACCGATAAGCTGACGTGCGCATCTACATTTATAAAAATATAACTAAATTCAAAAATACGGGTATCAAATATCATTCAGTATGAAAGTTTTAGGATATTCGGACGTTCTTATTATATGTAGATAAATGTAAGGTTAAGAAAACAAGTTTGAAAGTAAAATTACTAGTACCAAGCGCAGTATAAGCCATATAAAAATGTCCTGCAGACCGAATCACGGTCGCAGCGGCCTGCCTCAATGGAGAATAGCCATCGGCGCAGGACAGGATTATAGTGCCCAAGTGTATGCACAACCACAGGTGCACTCTCTATTCCCTCATTCTCATAATCCGATGGGACGATAAACCGACACGACCGGTGAGATATCAGGCGCAGGACCAACGGCTTTACGTGCTTTCCGAGGCACGGAGCGAATACACCGCCAACTTCCTGACTCCGGGCAGCTATTGAGAATTTCTTGACAGAAAAACTCAATAACTGATTTTTTGGCCCGACCCGGGATTCGAACCCAGGACCTCACGATCAGTAGTCGCACTACTACAACCACTAGACCGACGAGGCAGTCATAACCATATATCACTAAATACAAGTAACACGTTGGCAACGGTGACGGAACGGCAACGTCGCATCTCCTAATTTTGTGCGGAAGTCAAATACGGCCATAAATGAAAGTATTCACAAATCGGCAGCAGCGCTATTATTTTTGCAACGAAAATTAGCGGAACTACGTAAGTATTCAGTACAGCAAGATTGGAAGAAAAATGACATCCAATTTTTTTTTTTAGATTTTGACATTTCTGTGATCAGCATGACAATTTGCGAACGTTGCGCTAGGTCTCCTATTAGACGTCCGTATATTGATGCTTCTTATAAAAATTTTAATATGGAGAACAAACTCATACTAGAAGAAATATATATATATAAAGATATTCATTATGGCAGAATCCCTGGCTGACCCTGAATCTTTAACCCTATTCTTAACAATAACGCAATAATCGTGACTTAAGTCTATGTTAAACCTACACTAATAGTTATTAGAAACACTATACTCAAAGTTGTTGATGGATTCCGAAGGATTTTCTAAAGAACCTAAAGAAAATTTACCATATTTAAAATTATTTATTATAAAATAATTCTTTCACTTTAACTATGGTAACATAATGATTTCTTATATTTACGTGAACACTACACATTGAAATAATACTAGTTTTTACGTATTTTATTGCATATATTTAACTATAAATATCCGACATTTCGAGCGCTTTACAGCACCCATGGTCACAGGGGGGACTGAGATGTTCAACATCCAGATGTCATAGTTAACAGCAGTTACCATAGTTAAAAATTTAACTTTTGTGATGGTAGACCATCTGCTTGGGATCCTTTAATATATAAAATTAAATCCCAACCCAAACATACAACTGCAAGACTTCAAGATAATTACATACATAAGTTCAAACTGTGTAGATCGGAACAAAGTTTAAATTTTTATCTATGGTAACCGCTGTTAACTATGACATCTGGACGTTGAACATCTCAGTCCCCCCGTGACCATGGGTGCTGTAAAGCGCTCGAAATGTCGGATATTTATAGTTAAATATATGTGATAAAATCGGTAAAAACTAGTATTATTTTAACTATGGTAAGTTTTAACCTGTTTGATGTAAGAATGGGAATGATTCTTTATTGTATTGAAAATTATAACAATGGTAATGTGAAAAACATCTGGATCAGGTATTATACTGTGTCATGCTCAATTATACTGACTCCGTGAGTATGGCCCTGATTATAGAATAATAATATGATTGTGTTGTTGCAACTTGGCCCTTTATCTAGGGGTATGGGTTTTGTAAAATTGTAAAAAAAAGTTGACAAAGCCCCACTAGATGATGTAAAGACCTAATAAAGCATGGAGTTGGTGGATGCAGGTGACTCAGGGCCATGCTATATGGCAATTAATGGTGTGGCCTGTGATCAGCAGTGAACTTATGATGGGATGTGATGGTGATGATATTCTATGAATTTTGATTTGTTATGAAGTTTGATTAATACATAATGAATCTATGTAAAGTTAACTTTTAATATATTTGTAAACACTATTAAAGTGTAATTTATTTATATAAATGCTTTTGTGCATATTAAAGTTAATAGTTACAGCCTACTATGTCCCACTCCTGGGCACAGGCCTCCTCCTATTTCTGAGGTTATAAAGCTTGAAAATGTTCGCCTCCCTGCCCCAATCCGTGTTGGCAGACTTACATGTCTTTGAAATACTTTTTGTTATTTCTATGACATGCAGGGTTCCTTACAATGTTTTCCTTTACAGTAGAGCATGTGATAAATTATGCATTTTAAAATATACGAAATAACACAATAATAACACATTTGGAATTTGCACTAATTATTTTTAAATTTGGCTACTACTAAACTGAACTGAGCAGTCAGCTTGCCTTCAGATTCGGCCAAAATATGAATTTCAAACACCACTAAACAGTTTTTTTAAAATCCTTATTGAAGTTGAATAATTAGTGATATGACTTCTTTTCATAGTCACATTTTAATTTGGGCTGTGTCAAGAATTTTACATGGTAGAGCCATGCTGCAGCTATATTATAGTTGTAGCATGAATGAGTCGGCTCGACAGAGGCAGGCCCACTCTCTCACAGAATCCCTTTTTACTGGAATAGAGGCATTCCATCTTAGTCCTCAGGGGTGACAACGCATTTGCATTTTGATTCTTAATTGAAGTCTATGGGCCACAGCATCCAATTACCATCAGGTGGACTGTGTGCTCATTTGTCACCCGATGCTATAAAAAAAGAAACTTATTCATGATAGTTTGACATGTTGTTATTTAAGTTCCTTATCATATCTATATTTACATAGCTTAGATAAAGGCCATAGGTTGCATATTAATTGCGTTGATGATTACAAATGGCCTCTGAGTAGCTTATCATTTTACAAAATGTTAGCTGTAGTTCAAATATTATGAATAAATTACATAATGTCAAGCCTGTAATAAAAATAAATATATATGGGAATCATGATTGGAATTATGGTGTTGGATTTTATGAAATATTCTGATAATTTTATATTTCCTTTAAGGTATCAATACGGGCAACTGGCTTAGGAGCAGTAATGGCCGTAGGCCTTTATTTAGTCTCCTTTGATAATGGTTTGAAGGTGCTCGGGTTGTACATTGTGGCCCTTACATTCTTCCACTTCTCCGAGTTTGTTGCTGTGGCCTTGACAAACCCCAGGACTGTGACTATTGACTCATTCATTTTGAACCACAGTGTGCAATATGCTGTGGCCGCAGTTGCAAGTTGGATAGAATGGACCATTGAGTTTTACTTCTTTCCTGGTATGATTATAACGAATTCTGTTTTTATTACTGTATCATTTTCTTTTGTTACTATATCCTTCATACATGGTAGAGCCATGCTGCAGATATGTTATGGTTGCAACATGAATGGCTCGGCGCGATGGGGGAAGGACCACACAGAATACCAGTTTACAATAGCAGCTTATTGCTTCTGTTTCGTTTGGTGAGTGTATAGAACCAGAGACACTTTTTATTGAAAATGAGGCAAGATGACCTTAGTCCTCAGGGGTGACAATGCTATTGCACTTTTATCCTGAAACGAGGATAATGTATAGGCATCCACTTACCAGTTTAAAATGTCATAGAATAAAAGTAAGTAACGTTATTATTCAAGTAATTCTTGTTGAAAATATTTTTTTTTTAATTTTACCACTGGTTTGGAAAAAACCTCTATCCTGGGAAGAAACAGCAAGAAACCTGGCGGGGCTTTTTAGTTCAAGGCAACAATTAACAATATAAAATAGATTATACAATTATTTACAAAGCTCATTTAAGAAATAACTTGAAAGCGATAACCTCACAAAGACTTCTGTGTATACTAATCTAGTAAACATAATTCTTTGTCACCTCATTTCCAGGGGTTATTACTTATTATTAACAAAGACTTTCATGTGGTATACATAAGTCTTTGGTTAATAACCATGTATTCATTTATATTGTAATACCCTTTCTATATATTACGTCTTTACCTATCTAATTGCCGTTTTTTATGAAATTAGTTAACATAATTTAATTTCTATATTTTTTATTTCTTTTAATCAAAGTATTCACCCATACAATCGATGCATCTTTGCCAATGCAGTGGCAGTTTATTGATGCCCTTCAGGAAGAAATCAGCTTGACATGAGGCAATAAATTCTTCAAAGGCATTTTGTACTGCCTCTCGGGTATTGAATTTTTATCCTGTCAAAAACTTATCTAAATTCTGGATAAAAGTAGAAGTCTGTAGGCGCAAAGTCTGGTGAGTACGGCGTTTGACGGAGAGTTTCCAACCCCAGCTCTTGTAACTTGAAGACCGTCTGTTGTTCAGTGTGAATTCGCGCGTTGTCGTGCAGGAACAGCGGAGACGAGTGATTGACCAAAGCTGGTTAGAAACGGGTGGGCTTCATCATTGTGTACTTCACGATACACACCTGCAGTAATGCTCATCCCATTTGCTAAGAAGCTGTAATGAATTACAGCGACGCTAGACCATCATAAATGACCAACACTTTTCTAGTTCTCGTTTGGGGCATTATTTAGGTGCTGCACCAGGATCCTACTAACTTGCTGAGTGATTGTGATTGTCAAACAGAATCCATTTTTCGTTGCAAGTAACAATGTGGTTCTCACTTAAGACCTGGTCTGACACACCAGGCTTAAAACATTCTAAAATCTTAATCGCTTCAGAAGCCCTGGGATTCAGTAAAAATAAATTGCGCATTCTGGCAAGAGCCCTAACTGGACACTGTTGTATTAAAATGCACATGTCCATCCTGGGACTAAGCAACTCAAGGATGTGTCGGTTCATAGGGCACCCATTTGTCAAACATTTTTACCTGGCCAATTTGCGGCAAATGGAACAATGTTGTGTTGGTGCTAACGTTGAAAGATGCTGCTTGGAAATGGTCAGTACTGCAAAACGGCAATTTCATAAGTAAAGACTGTATGTAATGTGAATTTAATAATATTTAACTCATTTTATCTTCAATGAAATTATTAATATTACTTGAAATCTATTCTTTAATTTAACCGATTTTTACACATTCCAGGAATGAAAACTTATTTCTGGTTGTCAAGTTTTGGAGTATTAATGTGCTTTGGTGGAGAATTGCTCCGAAAAACCGCTATGTTCACTGCAAAAACGAACTTTACACATACTGTAAGTATTTGTGCCAGCCAAAGTAAATAATTTTTATCAAATGACCATAAATTTTTTAAATTTTCATAAAAATCGTATTTGTGAATAGTTGAGGTGAAGAAAATATTGTAATGATAGATTATGAAATTCCATATATAAAATGTACAGACCAGTGATAGGAATCAGCAAAAAAAGAAATATGATACCTAAGAGTATTTCCTTCTAACAGAAATGAATAAACAGTATTGCTTATATTGTAACCTAAACTAATAGTATAAGAGTGACAAACGAGCAAACAGTCCATCTGATGGTATGTGGATACTGTGGCCTATAGACGTCTACATTTATTTTCGATTAAGAATCAGAACGCAAATGTGTTGTCACCCGTGAGGACTAAGATGATGGGTGACAAACGAGCACACAGTCAACCTGGGACTGTGTGCTCGTTTGTCACCCTTATTCTATAAAAAAAAATATGGTTGCAGATTTCTTACCAGTTTCTTTAATATTTTTTTGTACTGTTCAAACTAATTTTCCAGTTTCTCGCATTGTCGTAGGTACAATTTGTAAAGCACCCTGATCATCAACTTGTTACTCACGGCGTCTACGCAATGTGCCGGCATCCCAGCTACGTGGGGTGGTTTTACTGGTCTATTGGTACACAGGTGCACGAAATAAATCTTTTTATGGTTCCATTAATATTAATTTACTTTCCTTCGGCTAAATTAGAGCTAGTCCTTAAATCTCGTGAGGCTTAACTCAGGGAGAGGGGGTAAAAAAAAACACGATTAATCACGATGCGGAGGATGGGATAATATGACAATCACGTGTATTGTAATGTGTGACATGTAATATATATACACTACCAACTGAATTCTCGATTTTATTAATATTTTAGGGTTTTCACAATCTAAATATATGATTTTTTTGTTGCAACAGATTCTTAAAATATCTGACCTTTTCAGTAATAAAAAAATACACTGATGCTGGGAGGGGGGCAGGGGTAGCCTAAAACCTCATTACTTTTCACCGAGGGGAGAAAGGGATATAAAAATGGTCTTAATACCTTACATGATTAAAGGATGGCCAATTACTTCAATTTAACCTTAATAACTAGCCAACGCCCCAACTTCAACTCGTCTTGACAGCGTCACAATTAATACTCATAAGATATTTTTTTTATAGAATAAGGTTGACAAATGAGCACACAGTCTACCTGATGGTAAGTGGATGCTGTAGCCCATATACATCTACATTTATCCTCGATTAATAGTGAAAATGCGGATGCGTTGTCACCCCTGAGGACTAAGGTGGAATGCCTCGTTTCCGGTAAAAAAGGGTCTCCTGATCTCTACACTCACCACACACACACACACACACACACACACACACCCGCACGCACGCACGCACGCACGCCCGCACGCACGCACGCACGCACGCACGCACGCACGCACGCACGCACACACGCACGCATAGCAGTATTTAGCTGCTATTTGACGCTGGTATTCTGTGAGAGCGTGAGCGTCCCCGGTCGAGCGACACATTCGCGCTACAACCAATAATATAAAAAAATTAACTTAGCAGATTTTTAAGAGAGAGAAGAGAGTTTCTTAAGTAGCAGCTTCATCCTAGTAAGCGAAGTGAAGGGCTGCCTCTCGCTAAATGAAGTGATGTCCTGCTAAGACATGCAGGGAGTCGTTGGATGCAGATGAAAAAGGACCATTGTTTGTGACATTCTTTGGAGGAGGCCTATGGTCAACAGTGGATTTAAAGCGCTGTAATGATAAGGAAAGAAATATCCAGTGTCAGTAGTGGAGCTTGTGCCTTGCAGTTGGGAACAGCTTGTGTACTATAATAACGTTTTATGTGGTAAAGTAGAGTCTTGCTGCAGCTACTGGATGACCTTTTTTACCATCTGCAAGAAATAGGGCGTAACATGTGAACAGAGTAGAAGCCTATGGTACTGATATTTTACAAAAAATAAAAACAAAAATTTCTAATTACATAAATAAATTAAATTATATCGAAATTCAAATCATATCCACCCTAGCCTGTGACCCTGCGAAGTGACCAGGTTAAAGATGCCTACTAAATTTATTGTTTTATTGCCGTTCGTAAAGTAGGGTGATATGATTTGAATTTCGATTGATTTTAATTTATTTATTTAATTCAAAAATTTTGTTTCTATTTTTTGTAAAATATCAGTGCCATAAGCTTCTACTCCGTTCACATGTTACACACATGGTCATCGAGTATATTACGGTTGCTGCACAAATGGGTTGGTTCAACATGAGAAGAACCACACTCTCACTTAGTACCAGCTTAAAATAGCATTTTCATGCTGCTGTGCTTCTTATGGTGAGTATAGAAAATTGGAGACCTTCTTTGTCCTCAGTAGGTGCCAATAGGCCGCGGCATCCACTTAGTTTCACGTGAATTATGTGTTTGTTTTTTCATTCTTATTCTATAATAAAGACATTGATTGAATTTCTGGGGCAGCTTGGCTGACTCTCCACTGCCTCAGAATTATCTCCGATGCTTTTGTCCAACTTAGGTTATAATATATGCCGGCTTTTACGTAATAAGAATAAAATGGGAGATTTAAAGGAGATAATCCGTACAGGCTATAATCTAATTGAGTTATATACCCTCGATACTTACGCTAAGCTAGGCTCAAACGGTATTTTAAATTATAATTTCTTATATTTACGGTGATAGCCTTCGTTAATTATGACATCAGGACTTCCTCAGTTCTTCTCTTAACAATGGGTGCTGTAAAGCGCCCGAAATGTTAGAATTAAAAAGTTAAAATTAAATGCTGTAAATTCCATAAAATCAGTTTTATTTTATGAGTACTTACAGCCTATCGTCTTCTTCGAAAAAAAAATTCCTTATTTCTGAGACATGCATTTTCCTCACGATGTTTTTGTTCACCGCCAAGCACGTGTTAAATCAGCACTTAAAATTGCAATTAATAATTTCATTGGTGCCGGCGTCGATCGACATCGGTTTGAAATATTCAGCGAGCGCTAACCATCTGAGCTACAACGGCTCTAAAACACTAAAATTTAAAATTGTATAGTTGTTAAAATAATTCGTTATTTTGTCAGATAATACTACTGAACCCAGTCTGCGTTGTTATATACACATTGGCTTCATGGACTTTCTTCCGCGAGCGGGTGTACGCCGAGGAGATGACTCTGCTGGCATTCTTCGGTTCGGAATATACAGCGTACCAGAGGAAAGTGGGCACCGGCCTGCCTTTCATACGAGGATATATTCCTGAGAATGTGAAGCAGAAGGTCAAAGATGAACATTGGAGTTATTAATTGCTTGGACTTTGTCAGCACGAGCAGTTTTAAAAAAGGTGTTGAGGTGAAAAGTGAGAGGAAATTTTTTTCTATGGAATGATTCTATTCAAGCAAATAGTGATGTATGAAGTGAGTTTGGTGTAACTTGTGGTGGCTGAAGGTAATACCACAATATATTATTTTAATAATTATGGAAAATCCAAAAGTGCACATCTCGATCCTTCACATTAATAAAAGCATAATATCTCAGTGATATCTGCTTGCATTTTTATAATTATTATGACATAGGTGATTGCCCTTGATGAAAAACTCTGCACCAAATTGAACAACTACATAATAATTAATAGAACCAGGCGTTACTTTGGATCCATGACATCCATTACATCAAAGTTGTTAAGAATTAATTAGCGAAGGTCCGCGTTATAAAATAAAATGACGTGTCTACTTACTTTGAAAGGCACCTCCCGCCCTCCCTCAATTGCGTGAAGCATCCCCGTCGTAATTTTCTTTTTGGTAGTTTTTCTGGGGTTTACGGTCACTAAAATAGTTCCAATGCCTGCTTACCTTCCAGCTTCATCACCATATATTTTTTTGGTTTATTTTGTAAAAAAAAAATTATAAGGTAAAGAAATGAGTTCATTGATGCGGATACCTACAATAATAACAAGCTTAACGTTTAAAAGAGTTATTTAAAAAAACCTGACTGCATTAAAAAGTTAACTGAAAATAACCTTCCCCTCCCTTTTTTCGTTTTTGCAGTCGTAATATATAAATGATATATGCCTTATGTCACTCTTACAATGAAGACGAATGCAATGTTAAAGTCCATGAAGCCGTCTAGGCTACAGAGCATGCCAAAGAAATGAAGATACTTAGATTTTGTTACTGTCTCGAAAAAATAGAGTGTAACATATGAAGGGAGTAGAAGCCTATGGCACTGATATTTAACAAAAAATAAAAACAAAAATTTTGAATTAAGAAATAAGTAAATTAATTAAAATCTGTCGAAATTCAAATCATATTCACCCTAGCCTGTGATCTAAGCCTGTGTGTTTCTTTCCAACGTTTAGCTCTTTGTGTTCAGAACTGGTTTTGGGAGCGTTTTGGTGCGTAGGTGGCACGCAGGATGAAATTGTTGGTGAAATCGCCATTGCAATGGCGGTTTCTATAAGTTAGCTGATGGTTATCACCTCTGACATCTCTCCGTCTTTTATAATGAACCATTGAGCATCCATATTATTTAATGGTTAAAATTCGTCCAATGGCTTCCAACCCTCCAATGAGCCCACACCTTTGATAACGCCCTACTTTAAAAATTTCTGGCGTTAAGATTACCGGGGGAATATAGGGACGGATAGTTGGCTCACAGCGCTACATCGATGCTTGGTCCAGCTTGCAGATAGAGCTGAAACGGCCCATTCCCACTATCTGAGTGACTGTAACTTACTCCGTCAGCAGTCTTTTACCGCCATCTAGCCATTTTCAGGGGAATTAGGCAGCTACCACGTCCCTCGCCTGCGATCCTCTGACGGCGCGCTTGGCCATTTCCCAAAAAGGGTTACCGTTTTGCTTGAAATCCCGACCAAAGAAGGCCTTTTGTCTCTCGCCACTATATACTCCTGTGACGATCGGCTCACCCTTCCAGGACTTCATCCTTCCCGCGTACGGTGCTTAACTGCGCAGATACTACCGCAAGTGAGTATGTTAGTGCATCGGATATACCCCACCGTTGAAACTATCAGTCTTTTAGAGAAGATTTTGTCCTTCACGGCCACTGAATTGCCGCTCCACGATCACCGAAGACTTTGAGTGAGTCTTATGATTGGGTTAATTAACTGTCTCCAAAGTTATTAAACGTTGATTCATTTTTATGGTTGTATTTGTATTACCGGCACTTGCAGAGTTATATTGTCTCCAATGTTATTAACCCCCGTCTTTGTGCAATATTTACTGGTCTATGTCCTCAATGCCAACTTTATTAATTATGACAGAGTTTATATCATAGAGTAGAGTATAGGAATAATTTATTGACAGAGATGTCTTCATTAATAGACCCAGCCAAATTACCTTAGCCTTATGTCGCAGAAATTAACTTTGAAGTAATTTTCGTCTTCCTTTTGTACATTTGCCCTACGTGGTATTTGCTTCCCCTATCTAAGGTAAACTTTACAAGAATAAAGCTTCCTTCGATCGCCATGTTACGAACAATTGTTGTAGTTTCGAGCTCTGTTTTTGGACATGTTGAGACACAATAATCGCTTTATTCATCTATACCGCCTCTTACGTTATTTATTTCAATGGAACTAGTCATTTTGGAATGAAACTAATTTTTACGGGTTTTATCGCTTCTATTAACTTATTTTATACTAGCTTTTTACCCGCGGCTTCGCTCGCGTAGGCTTGAATTTAGAAACATCGATAATACTATTTCGTACTAAAATTAGCAAAACTGGATCACTTATAGAGACACGCCGATATTTGTGTGTGTGTTGGCAATATTATAGACTACAGAAACACATAAGTTAGTTTATCAGAATCGCAGAAATATCATACGTCAAGCAACACCTTTTTTATATCGGGCACGTCTTCCGATGTGTCTCTATGAAGGAAAAATTGTCCTGGAATCGGAAATGAGTTATTTACATAATATTCTGAAGGAAAATACCTAATCCTCACTTTTTGAAGTTCCGTAATCGGATAAAAAGTAGCCTATAGGTAGCCCCGTGTCTCTAACTACAAAATTTCATGGAAATCAGTTCAGTAGTTTTTGCGTGAATCTTGAATACACAGACGGACAGACAAAATTCTAAAAAAACACTAATATGGCTTCATTTTTTCCAGAAAATATTAGAATTACAGACACGACCTTTCTACAGATTTATTATATGTATAAATCCTATACCTTTAAGCGAGCAATTCTTGTATATATATATAATCGGAATCTCTGAAACGGCTCCAACGATTTTCATAAAATTTTGTGTGCAGGGAGTTTCGGGGGCAATAAATCGATCTAGCTAGGATTTATTTTTAGAAAATATCTTTTTGTCCGTGTTTTTAGGCAACGAAAAACTGCTACAATATCGTTAGAATAAGAAGGTAAATTTTGACAGTTTATTAATGATTACGAATAGCTTCATTGGTATATTGGGCGGTCACAAAATCGTAATACCATGGTTCGAGCCCAGACCGACCGACCGACTGACCGACTTCTTTTAATTTTTTTTTTCAAGTTCCTTTCTTTTTTTGAGAAAATCTAGTCTCTTTTTTTTAGTATTTTTTAAAAACACGAAAATTTAAATTAAACTAATTGCACTCATGATTTTTTATTCAAATAACCAGTTCAGTTTTTTCTATTATGTCGCTAAGATCAAAAAATATTATTCGTATTTCATCAGTATGTAATTTTTATCTAAATATAATTTCCAAAACACACGAATTAAAAAGAATCTGAGCGAAAAATACCGAGCAAAGCTCGGTCAACCGGGTACTTAACATTTAAATGTATTTATTTATTTATTTTTTATTTATTTATTTAATTATTTTGCATAATGTGTGTGTTTTAAAGTTGTTATAAAAATATAGTACAACTCATTAACCATTTCTGGTGTACAAAATGGTAGAAATTTAAAAACATTAAGTATTATTAAGTACAATATAGATTAAAATTACAAAAAAAAATATTGATAATAATTAACCAACAAAAAACATAAAAATAAACTAGAAAGTGACATAATAAAACAAAAACATTTACTATTATTTGCACTATCACATCGTTAATATTTATATTTTCATGTCACATTATATTCACATGTCCATAATATTAAGTATTAAAATATTATTATTAAAAAATGGTCCAGAATTTAAAGATATCGTTTTTCCAACAACTCACTATCCGAATAAAAATATTTATTAAATAGTTATGTTATGTTATTGGGTATAGCGTTATATACTTTTATACACATTGCATAGCAATTCTTATGATAATTAACTGTTTTTGGTATTTTATCAATGACTAATTTATCCGGATGCCTCAGAGGTTTAGATTTGATTATATCTCCAGCAGTTATAAATAGCTCAGGGTTATTTTTAACAAATTTTGCTGTTTCAAGGATGTATATATATGCACGGAAGAATTAGCACTTTCAAATCTCTGAATATTGATTTGCACGACTCATGAGATCCCATATTACATATTGCACGTAGACATATTTATTACACAATGAAAACTTTATTGATGTCTACAGAATTTCCCCATATTATTATACCGTAGCTAAGTATTCAATAAACGTATCCGTAATACGCCATGAGAGCTGTTGATTGCGATGCCGACTTTGTAAGGTTCCGTAGTACGTAAACGAAGCGGTTAAGTTTATTACATACTTTTTCTATGTGAGTTTTCCACTTACAAAATGCATCTATATGTATACCGAGAAAGGAAATTTCTTTTACTTGTTTTATTTGTTCGTGTTTACTATATTTAGCTTTGTTTCATAATTTTTTTATTATAAAATTGTATTAATTTGGTTTTGCTTATATTTATGAGTACATTATTATGTTCTAACCATTCAATTATTAATTTTAAATCATTAATGTCATTTACAAATTTACCAATGTCAGATTTTTTGTTACATGAATATGCACTTTTCAAATGGTTAAATCTGTCGTCTCCACCCATTCTCGCTGTATATTCCTTCGTGACAAGGGGGCATTTCACAAATTCTTTCTGGGTATTTGAAACGCTAGTTTGATTGACTTTAGGGTGGAATGTATTGGTCATGAGAAGAATCTCTTTGTTATCTTGCCATACGACAAACGCCACATTCCCCTTTACTCGCCTCTTGAATTCTCCCTTCGATAGCCGTAGCTTCTTACTTTTGTCACCTTTATAAGAGCTGGCATATCAGCTCTTTGCTTACACACTGTACCTGTGGCATAAATTTTGTTTTGATACAAAAACTCCAGGATTTTATAATCGCAAAAGAAATTGTCAAATGTTATATGAACGTTCTGTACTTCCTTCTCTATTAGTTTCTTGGTCAGTTTTTTTTACTACATTTGCTCCTAATCCTTCTTCCACTGAATTTGAAGTTTTGCCTGTATAAATATCAAACTCGCAAAGGTATTGAATAAAACTAAATTTATGGATTCTATCGCGTTTATTTAACTGATTTTACTTATTTTTAATTCCCGACGTTTCGGGTGCTTTACAGCAACCATGGTCACGGGGGGGGGGGACTGAGATGTTTGACGTCCCAATGTCATTGTCCCGGAGCGTCGGAAGTCTGCAGTCTGTGAACATGTTCAAGATCGTCCCAACCATTACATCAGATTTGATAAACCACAAATCCTCGCAAAAGAACACCGATTCCAAGGATGATACGCGAGGCTATTGAAATTAAAAAACATCCTAATTTCAATAGAGAAGATGTTTGGGTGCTGCCATGTGCTTGGGATCCTATAATTAACAAAATTAAACCCAAACCCAAGCATACCACTGCAAGACTTCAAGATACTGTAAGTTCGTTTTGCGTAAATTGGACCAAAAATTAATATTCAAAAACTGAAGGTAGCCGGGCTAACAATGACATTGGGACGTCAAACATCTGAGTTCCCCCCGTGACCATGGTTGCTGTAAAGCACCCGAAATGTCGGGAATTAAAAATAAGTAAAATCAGTTAAATAAACGCGATAGAATCCGTAAATTTAGTTTTATTCAATGTGTAGTGTTCGCGTAAATTTAAGAACTCGCAAAGGTAACCTGTCTGGCTGTCACACCGACACCAGACTTTGTACCCACGCTTTATGGGCTTGAGAGGCATGTAATGTTTTAGGGATGGCCGCCCTTTGAACAAAATCATGGACTCATCAATGCTTTGCGAAGAAGATTCCTCTGCATCATCCTGACAGGCTTGGTTAATCAAATTTAATATTGCACGTACTTTGTACAACTTATCGTAATCAGGGCTGTTTTTTTGGCTGTTTTCTATTGTCGTTAAGATGTAGACATCTTAAGATTTTTTTAAATCTTTTTACAGGCATAATATCGGCAATTTCATTTACTCTAAATCCAGGATCAGAAGACCAGTAAAGGTCTATGGATGGCAAAATGTGATAGCCCATCACAATTATTATGCCTATAAAGGCCTTTAGCTCTGGAAGTTTAAGTGGTGACCAGTTTTCAATTTTCTCTTGGGCAGCATATAAATTTGTCTGATAAATATTTTGCTCATATACTTCATTTGAAAAAAACTTTTCAAAGAATCGTAATGACCTTGTTCTGTCGCCGACTTTTCGTTTTGGTGCTAATGGGGTTTTATCAAACGTTTCAGGTTTTGTTCTATCAGCCCAATTAGCCGTATGAACTTTTTTCCAACATTCTTTGTCGTCGTCGGATTGATCTGTATCAGATTCACTACTTGTATCATCAGGAACAGAGGAGGAGGTTAGTGTAGACGATTTGACAGTATAACTAGGACCAGTCGAAGGCCGGGATTGCGTTACTCGGCTTGAAGATGGACCAGGACTACAAATTTCTTGAACTGAATACAAAGGCTGGCAGTCGAATTCCGATACAGATGGTTGAAGGCTATTATGGCTTTCCAAAAACGATATAGAAATATTTTCTGTACCGGCGTCGAGACTCTCCAGAATGCTCTGAAGTTTGACTGTACTGTATTGAGCTTTTCCTTCATCATCCGACTCCAAATAATCCTCAGAATGTTCAGGACTTTCAGGAACATCAAAGAATTCTTCAAGGAGTTGCTCTATTTCTGAATCTGCAAATTTTTTCCGATTCATCTGCAAAAATAAAAAGTAATAAACCAAATAATTTGCATACTTATTCAAAAATATTTCCTCTGCCCATTGTGACCCACAACGAGCAGAGGGAATATTCTACTCACCAGAAAATATACTTATACATACTATATACGTCCCACTGCTGGGCACAGGCCTCCCCTCATTTCTGAGAGGGTTTTAGGGCAAGGAAGTGACCGTCGCGCTGCCCCAATGCATGTTGTTGTAAGAAAATTCTTGAGTCGCCAAGACCCATGTAGCAATACGTGGTATTATTTCTTTTTTATTTAAAGCAAAACGAACTGCACTGAAATCCGTAACAATACGAAAATGACTTCCTTATAAGTAATGTCTAAATTAATTTAGTGATTGAACGATCGCTAATGATTCGAGTTCGATAGAATGATACTTTTTTCATCGTCTGTAGTTTGACGACTATAGTAATAAATTTGCTTCTCTACCGAGTCCGAAACCTGCATTAAGATACCGGCAATTCCGTACCTGCTTGCGTCGGTACATAAAACGCATTTTTTGGTAGGGTCGAATAACATGAGTAGGTATTTTATTCGAAATTAGAGCATTCTTTAAGGTCATAAAAGGGCGATCATGTTCAGTTTTCCAGAACTAGGGGAGAAATTCTTTTTAACAGTTTGGTGAGAGGACTGGACAATATTGCACAATTTTTTATGAATTTCCGAAAATAACTAATGAGGCCTAAAATTATCGCACCTGGTGAACGGATTTTCGGGTGGGAAAGTCTTTCACTGCATTTACCTTACATTCACTAGGTTTTATGCCCTCAGAGTTTATTGCACTACTTTGCATTGCATTTTATGCACAAGTACAGTGCGTTCCTCAATAATTTACTTCAAGAAGGTCGATTGTTGCTCAGCAATAACGACATCTGAACAAAATCATTATCAAGAAACACTGTGTACTTGTGCATAAAATTCTGAAAGCAATATGTATGGAAACAGTCTAATAAAACAAACATTAATATTTGAATTTTGTGTTTAGCATGATATTAATTATAATTTACCAGATTTTCATTCGGCAACTATGACTAATTTTACATAAATAAATGTATTTGGATTATATATTCATTTGGGACAAAAGGTGTTCACAAGTCACAAGTATGTGTACGTAATAATTGATCGGCTAATCTAAAACACGAATTAATCATAATCTAAAAATTAGATTATGCATTCAATTTGAAAATACAGCAAGCATCTTCGAACATAATTACTTACTACTATTGCATACAATTTTAATATTAAAATCTAGACAAAGTCAGACACAAGTTTATACTTTACAGACATGTATCATATTACTTAATATGTATTATTTCAGTTTAATGAAATAAATAAACAAATGGTTAGGAAGGTAGATCCTTATTATTTTAGTTGAAGGCAGACAGATCTGACAATATAGCTTCACTAACGTCCATTTATAAAAAAAGTTGTAAAATAATAAAGCATAATCAGCCTATAATGTTCCCACTGCTGGAACACACGCCTCCTCTCGGTGAGATGCAGTGGGCTGTAAACTATAGCCCGTCAACGTCGTGCAGTCCGCGCCCACGGGAGTCGTGCAGTCCACGCCCACGGGAGTCGTGTAGTCCGCGCCCACGGGAGTCGTGCAGTCCGCGCCCACGGGAGTCGTGCAGTCCGCGCCCACGGGAGTCGTGCAGTCCGCGCCCACTGGAGTCGTGCAGTCCGCGCCCACGGGAGTCGTGCAGCCGCGCCCGGGGCGCCGGGGTGTGCAGACCGCGCCCATGGGGGTCGTACAGTCTGCGCCCACGGGGGTCGTGCAGTCCGCGTCCACGGGGTCGTCCAGTCTGCGCCCACGGGGGTCGTGCAGTCCGCGCCCACGGGGGTCGTACAGTCTGCGCCCACGGGGGTCGTGCAGTCCGCGCCCACGGGGTCGTCCAGTCTGCGCCCACGGGGGGTCGTGCAGTCCGCGCCCACGGGGGTCGTACAGTCTGCGCCCACGGGGGTCGTGCAGTCCGCGCCCACGGGGTACAGGGTAGACAGGGACGAGGTAGCACGCAACTCTTGCACGAAGCCACGCGCACATGTCTTGAGATTAATATGGATATATTTAGATTTATTACGAAGTATTGTGTGATGTAGTGATGAATTCGATATAATATTAAATCACTTTATATTATTAAAAAAAGTACCCCGCTACGTCTGTCTGTGTATCTGTGTGATAACCTAAAAAACTAGTAAACGGATTTTCATGCGGTTTTCTTCAAAAGACGGAATGATTCATGAGAAAGCTTTTAATATATTTAGGTATCGTCCCGGCAGGTTCTTGCAGCCCACACACCGCGCAAAATTTAGTACAAGTATAAAATGTAATCCACGCCGAAAGTCATGGGTAATAACTAGTACTATCTGACTGTGAGAATTAGACGCATGGCCATAGACAACAGGCGAACGAAATTTGGAAAAATGAAAGATTAATCACTGAAAATTAGTAATAATATTTATTCTAAATAAGTAAGGAATTTAATCATTTTTTTATTTACATATCGTCTTCTCGCATTTAAAATATATACGAGGGGTGATCCAAAGGTAATAATAATGAAAATAAAACACGGTAATTAAAGTTAAAATAATAATTTATTTTCTACATAGTCTCCTAAGAAATCAATACATTTAGTCCATCTTTTTTCTAAACCCAGGATTCCCTTTGAAAAAAATTATTTGTCTTGACCCTCCCAAAACGCTTCAACAGCGGCCATTACTTCGCTATCTTCTTCGAATTTCTTGCCTCTGAGGCGTTCCTTAAGCCGAGGAAAGAGGTAGAAGTCACTAGGAGCTAGTCTCTGGCGAATAGGGAGGGTGTTCGAGCAGTTCGAATCCCGTTTCTTGAATGGCCATCGCAACTGCGGCTTTGTGAGCCGGTGCGTTGTCTTGGTGAAACAGCACTCCAGCTCGCAGTTTGTCGCGTCTTTTTTCCTTAATGGCCTCCCGTAATCTTCTTATTTGGTCTGCGTAGTAAGAGCCCGTAATAGTGGCTCCCTTTTCCAAATATTCCACCATAATTATGCCTTGAGCGTCCCAAAAAACATGCCATAACCTTTCCCGCCGAACTTGCAACTTTTCTTTTTCTTTGGCGTCGGTGAGGAGGCTAGCTTCCAAGTCATCGATTGTTGTTTTGTTTCAGGATCAAAATGGTGGATCCAGGTCTCGTCCATAGTCACAAAACGGAACAAAAAATTTTCTTGATCTGCTTGGAACTTTTCGAGATTGACCCTCGAAATGTCAACTCGATTTTTCTTTTGCTCGTCGGTTAACATTCTGGGTACCCAACGCGCAGAGACCTTTTTCATATGCAACTCGTTCGCAAGGATTCTTTGAACGCTGCCATATGAGATCCCTGTGACCTCAGCTACATGCCTGATGGTCACTCTTCGATCTGCCAACACAACATCTTCGACTTTTTTCACGTTGTCTTCAGTGAGGGACGTGGATGGGCCTCCTTCACGATGTTCATCTTCAGTGGATATTATGCCCAGTTTAAACTCCTTGGCCCAGCGTGCAACTGTAGAATATGGAGGAGCAGAGTCCCCCAATGTTTCCACTAAGTCACTGTGTATGTCTTTTGAAGACATTTTTTTCAAACAGAGGTACGTGTTGTTTCGTTTTTCTCCATGTTGATGTTATCTCTTTGACAGTTCGTATTCAAATGAATGTATCTCCCTTTTTTTGCGCCCGAATCAATGCCCGGTGGGGAAGCTCAGCACACGCAGCCGGCTGCGTGGTTATGTGGAGACTTTTACCCACTAAACTCCACATTTTAGAGACTGGCTTAACGGTCTAACTAGAGATTTCGAACATTACGTAGTTAATATACCTCTCTCTCTTTTCTGTACACAATTGAACATAATCCATTCGGTCATCGAGCATTGGAACCAGATTGTCGTTTTTAAACATCCTATCTCGCACTGTTCGAACTATTAAGAAGATCAGCGTCAGAAATATCAAGCGTGTTTAAGAAAAACTTTTGACAGATACGAATTTTTTGATTTTTGCTATCATTCAAGTAAAATTTTAAATTATTTTTGCGTGGTCTATTGCTAGATTTATATACATATTTAGGCTTAATCTCCTCAATACTATTGGCAATAAAACGTTTATGTAGTGCATCTGGTAAAGCGTAATATGCATCAATTTTTTTTTGCCTATGTTCCTCCAAAATGAAAGTAGAACATTTCTGCCTGCATTTCTCTCCGCAAGGAGGCTTAATAGCTTTTTCACTCACAATTTTATTTTTAGTAGAGTAGCTTTTACCTGCATGCCTCAATCGTTTTAATTAATTTGTTTTCCATTTTGTTGGGCTTAGCTAGACGTTTACGTGGATTCTTTTTCGGAGAAACTTGCTCGGTCTGTAATTCAACTGTTTGGATTAATTGAACCGATGTATTTTCAGCTTGGGATGGCTCAGAATCAGAATCACTTTGTGATAAATTAAAATCTTTACTTATATTGAAATTTGGATCTGCTACGCTGTCATCAGAAGAATAACCTTTTCCAGAAGAAGACGAGCTGGATGAAGAACTTGTGGAATTAGAGTCACGGCTAGCTGATGAATCTAAAATAAAATGTCTGACTTAGATACACTTGGTTCTCCTACAAAAACAAAAAAAATTGATAGAAACCTTACGAATTTTCTGAAGTTGTTGCATATCTGAAGTGTTAATTTCTTGCACAATACATTGTTGTTGTAAATCTGAATTTTCATTCGTTTCCTGTGAACTATCCAGAGGATTTTCGGTCTTTTTCTGTAAATCGTCTTGTAAACCTGAAAAATATCGAGTGTAATATGTACCTAAATAAAATAAAATCTCATTAACATCCACTTAGTTATTTAAAACATACCTAAATTTTGACTAATTACATATTGTGAGTTATTTTCATGTAGTATTTCCATCGATTTCACTTCAGAATCAGCAATAGGCGGATAATTTACTTCTTTCTGATTAATTATATTTTTTTTCAAGCTCTCTAAAAATTTACTTCTTTGTGCCATTTCAAAAGCGTTTAATTTAATCGGAATAAACAAAGAAAATATTTTAAAACATACAATTAGGGCCGGCACTATAAAGGATGGTCGGACACGACGGCTAGCTGTCGCGGCTAACTCGTTTTGTATACTTTGGGTGCGTTTGGCAGAAAAAAGCGCTAGCAAGCGCTTATAAGCGCTAAAATAGTTTTCGGCCAGGACACGATTGTTACTTCAGTAGCGCTGACACAATCCGCCATTTTGCTTATTTAATTTGTTAGTTTTAAAGTAGAGTTTATAAGTTGTTTTGTGCAATATTAGTTTTAAGTAATATAATGACATGAATAACCCTTACAGACCGGCGCCGACGCCGCGTGGGTTGGGATCACATATTCTTTTTATTTAAAGTCTTCGAGGTATAGTGAAGACTGGTATGACCTGTTTACAGTGATATAAGGCTTCTTTCAGTGTTTTTCAGGTGGCGTACAATTGTGTTTACCTGGGCCCTAGTGTTACTGCGTCACAATTGTGAGGGTCACAATTGTTTCAACTGGGGCCATACTGTTCGTGAGTACAGTTAGAGACAGACGACTACGATTAGAGATTCTTGTGTGTTATAATATATTTATCTATTGTTATAGATGAAATAAAAATATGGAAATTTGAAATTTCGTTTATTTAAAGTCTTAATAAAATAATAGGAACTTAGGACAATCATCAATCATAAAAGTTAACATAACTATTTTAACAGTCTTATACATTTAAAGAAAATTGTATTCAAACATGAGATCCATTTAATTAGGCGATTATTGAACAAAGTAGTTTTAGATATTATTATGAAAAGAAAAAAAACAATTCTTGTCTTTAGTTAAGCACAAATACACGTCGCATTTAGAACAACGAGCACGGGATCGACTGGAGCAGTTAGATAACCTGCATTTTCTAGGAGCTGGAAGTGTGTCGAATATGGGCCAATGGTTATAGCCATCATAGCGTTTGTCAACTGTCGGCATAGGAGCTGGTCTGTACTCAGATGTACTTGGCATTTCAGCAAGTTCCAAGTCGTCTCTGGTTCGTTTTCTGGTTGGTTCACCCAATAAATATTCCACAATGAACAAACGGAAGCTCAGTAAATCCATGATCTTAGACTTATGCAAATTGTTTCGTTTGGCATCTTCCCTGTACTCAAACCACGAATTTACTATGGCAAGGTCAAAAAGATGGATAATGACCTTAAAACACCATTTCCTTGTTTTGAACCATGTCCTATAAGTTTCTAACATCTGGTCACATAAATCCACGCCACCCATGTTTTGATTGTAATTTTGTACAACGCTTGGGCATGGTATGCTTTGATATGCTCTTGTTTTTTTATCCCATCGTGATACAGTGCTACTTGGGTCCCCACCGTGTATTGATGAAATCATTAGCACGCTCTTCGTATCCTTCCATTTCACCATACAAAGTTTTCCATCCGGGCTTACGATCTCTTCCCATTCACCTCTCTTCATTGCAGAACCTTTTTTTAAAAGTGTACAAAGTTTTCTTGAACCTATTAGCCATGATTGTGCCGGTTCCATCAAAGTGCCTGTCATTTAGTTCTCTGAGCAAAGGGATCGTCGTGAAGTAGCGATCAAAATATAAGCTTCCGCCAAGAAGAGTCCTTGCTAAACGCAAGACTACGGCGGGACATATTGCTTGTCAGGACATCGGCCAGTAAAAGGAATCATTTGCTCATCTATGGAGAATGTAGTGCTTTCTCGAGGCAATGCCAGGCAACGATTTCTAACAGCGTCTATCATAGGCTGTATTTTCCACAAACGGTTCCTGGCCTTTTCGTCCTCATCAACGCTATTATAATCAACAACATGCAGATTAACTCGTAATAAAAAAAAACGATCACGAGACATCGCCGAGGCAATAGGATCGTATTTAAATTTCTGATGCCAGTACATCTTCATCCTAGGACATTTGACAAGACTCATCATACCATGAACCCCAAAAAACTTTTTAATCTCACCTGGCGAGCATTGTGGCTTCATTGCACACCCCTTTTCAGCTATATAGTACTGTGAAGTGGCAGTCGAAAACTGTTCAAATAATTCCTCAGTAAAATAGTTTTCAAAATACTCTGCTGGCGATTTTGGTGGCTCACCTGGGTCTGGAGGCTGTTGGACTGCGGTAGGCCTACCACGGAACTTCTTTTTAATCCATTTTCCATCATCAGATTCACGAGAAATCGGCAGTGAAGACAGAGGCATGTCGTCCTCAGAATCATCAGATAAACCGTCATTTTCAGCATCCGGGGCCCATGTGTCGTCCTCATCATCACCTATATCCTCTAGGTCAGATTGCTGCAGTAAATTTTCAATATCCTCATCATCGAGCTGAGACATGTTTCCCGCCAAAATGGTATTTTTTTATTGATTGGGGCCGGCGTGCAACAATTGTGACGGTAAATTTCTTACTTAATTTTTCGTACATTAAACCTAAAACAACGACACAACTAATTCAGCTTTGTGTAAAGTAATTAATACGTAATAAAATAATACCACAATTGTTATGATTTCTTTAAAAATAAGTAAAATATTCTTACCAACACGTGGCATGACACAGGTGGCGATGATCGTCAGAATGAACGGGTCGAAACATGAAGAGCGGCTCGTACGCAACTTGTCTCACTCACACCAATGCAAAGTAGATAGCCGGCACAATCGTGCGAGCTTGGGCCCGTCTAAGTAATATTATTAATTTAACGGAAATTTTGCTTCAAACTACCGTCACAATTGTGTTCGGCAGGGATGTAAGGGATAAACATAAACATGCTATTAAAAATTCATGATTGGTAAGTTTTTAATATGCATACTTTACAAACATATTTAAATTAGGTTAGATTCCCCCGGTTAAAACTAACATCGTGTCCTGGAGGAAAATAGCTACTTACGATTTGACAGCGGTTACCGCTTACGATCGCCATTTTGCTTACAAGCGCTTGCTAGCGCTTTTTTCTGCCAAACGCACCCAAGGAAATGCGTTGCAAAACGAGACAGCAGCTACGGCTCGCCGCGGCGGCAAGCCGTTGCTCGACCCCGACCGTCCGTCGCAGTGCCAGCTATTTAAACATAACCAAACGAGCTGAAACAAGTCACTGTGTGTTTCAGAATCACAGTGATATTTACTGCCAATAGTTAACGAAAATCAAAATAATCTTACATTTATTAATTAAAAATCAAACATTTTCGGGATTAAATTATTTCTGACGTCAGATTTATGATAAAAAGGAGACAATTTTAAATTAAAACATAACTTTTCACAAAAAATATCTGAAATAGTATACAATTTAGAATAAACATAGTTTCAATGAAAAAGATCGAGATAGTATTATTCATATTTTATCATAAAAACTGTACAATTACAAAGTTATACAATTTTAAAGGTAGAATTGATTCAAACTTTGCTACACATTTATAGTAATAAGTGTATAATTTTGAGATTGTATAATACAAATGAAATAAAATGCTTACCCTGGGGTCAAATTTTCGTTTTTGTACACTTTTGAAGAGACACAACGCGTGCACTACTCGAATGGTTGAACGTAACTAAAACTTATGTATGTTGTATTCGTACGAAACAAGTTCTCACTTTGGTCAATTTAAGACTAACCAATGCGCTATCTAGCGAGTGTTTGTTGAACTACGCTCCTTTGTCAATATTTAATAGAAAAATACCGGTGTTACCAAACATTTTCGCATATTAACTCAATTTTGAATATTTTTGGAGATTGTATACTTTTAATGCGAAAAGGCGATATTATATTTATACCGAAAGCTAATTATCATCACAATCCATATCTATTTCCTGATCGTCGCCGTGGTCATAATCCGTGTCCGTGTCTTCACCTAAGTTAATATCAACCTGCGAACAAACAATATTTCAGTTAGTTATAAGTGTAAAGTACGTGTAGGACTAAAAAGAAGAATGAAATGGTAGATCGCGATTCTTGGCGCTCGATCCTTTCTGCCTACGCTGCAAGGGAAAGCGTGAAGTATAACATTACTTCACGCTTGCACTACTGTTGCAAAACATACCAATCTGTCAATTTCGTCGTCGAACACTCTTTCTGTCTCATAATATTCTATTTCATTTACACAATTTTTCTGCCAAATAATTGGCAAAAAGTGATATTAGCACTTTCTTCTTTTTATCTAAATTTGATTCAATGGCTGTCCTAGCCGATTCACCTTTGAGGTCTCCCCACACTAATTCTATAGAGTTGAGGTCCGGGTGGTACGGTGGAAGATGTAGAACTGTATGTCCTTCCGCCTTAATGATTTCATCGATCCGGTATTGCTTCTCAACATTCTGCTGATTTGTTAAGTTCATAATGTCGCATTTGTGTGCGGATTCGTCAAATGGAACATTTTTTGCGTCAACCACTCCTGCATGTGGCTCTTAAGAGAGCTCATAGTATGTTTCCTATCGATTTGGGTGCTGTGGTATGCCGCATTATTCATAACGACGACCGAGTTCTGGGGAATATTTGGCAGGTTTTCAGTTGCCCACTTTTGCAAGTTCACGGCATTTATGTCACCGTGGTAGTGTCCAGTCTTCAAGTGTGACTTGAAGATAAGTAAAGTATTATTCACAAATCCATCACGGCTTCCAGCATGGACTATGATCAGGCGAGATCCCTTGACGATCGCGTATTTAGCACGTTCGCACGTTCTTCTTTAGATTGCCAACATTTTCGTACATTATGTGCCTGGTTGACATATGTTTCATCCAGAAAAATATTGGCCTTCCATCGGCTCCATATTTCTTTATGTCTCTAATATAATGCCACCTCAGAGCCATAATATCGGGTCGCTCGATTATTAATTTAACACCCGTATTTATAAACGAGTAAAAGTAATTACTTAAGTAACGATTTGTATTCAATAGTTAAGTAATTGGTCGAAGTTAGAACTGTCAAAAGTTAGAATACTCAGCCAAGTAATAGTCACCATTTTCTTTACTTGAGCACTACTTTGAGGTTATTTTGGATAAAAACTGGAAACTTTGGATAGCATTTGAACGGTTTTTGTTGTTGTAGACAATATAGACGAGATAGAGTTTGATTTTTTTTTTAAATATATATATTGAATAAATTATCATTCGAACAGAAATTAAACAAATAAGTATAATAATCAAACATTATATTTATGTTGTAAGTTTTACACTATTTACATTTACACATTTAATTTTAACGAATAATTATTATTTTTAACAGAAAACAAGAATTAATTAAACATTTTTTTACTTTTACATTTATTTCTCAAGAGTTGAATTTTAAAATAACGATTTTGACAACAAGTAAGCGCTTACGGGGTAACGAATTTGCCACGATAGGCAAATAGATCTTAGCTAGGCTAAGGAGCCCGGGTGACAACCCTTTCATGCCATCTCACATCTCCAACTCATCTCCCTTTACAGGAGTGACAAGTGATTACATGAATATATTATGTGACTCATTTTTCGGGATTATGTTATTTCTGCTAAATAAACCTTACTTTAAAAGTTTAGACGTTATTTAACTTCGACATTTTTTACGAATATTTATTTTCGGCGCCATAAAATTCGTGTTAATCGTCGTTCTTAAGTTTTAACATACGGAATATTATGCCTTCGAATTGTTGGTTATTTCGAAACCTTTGACAGTAAGCCAAAATATCGTTCATAATAATGAAGAACGATGTTTATGAACACAGAAACAACTACAAATCGTAGAGTGTTACTTGGGCATTTGCTCAAGTAAGTAACGTGTGTTACTCAACTATAGAATGAAATTTTGTAATTAAGAATTTGAACCTTAAGTAATGACAACTAAGAAATTACTTAGCAACAAGTAATTACTTCTTTATAAATATGGGTATAAATCCCTAAAAAGAAGAGAATCTGGTGTTTTTGAAGATTGAGTATTGGAAATTTTGGTGAAATAGTCTAAAATTCAGGCAGTTGAATTCGTGGGCGAAGTTGTTAGTTGTACATTTATTTATGTATAATTATGTTCATTTTTCTTTTCAGTGCAGATTTACTTGCCTTTTCAGAAAACATTCTGTTTTTTAGAATACAGTATCTCTTAATTATAATATGGAAGCCACTATTGATTATGAAAGTTATATTTAATTGTTTGTGTTCCATGCAACCTTCGAGGAAGTCATAATTTATAGAGCCCTTTAACAATTGTGTTATTATCATTTTAATATTCTCTTTGTACGCCTCTATTTCTAAAAATATATTTATTATGCTTGCACTTTTCGCTACACAAGCTATTAAATTATTTGAGGGGTATGTAAGAGATTTTTTATAGATTTTCATAATTTTTGAACTCTATAAAATTATGCACTAACTCTGGCGTTTATTAAATTACTACAACTTTTTTAATTTTTTTTAATAATGAAGCCACAGACACAAGCACGCAGCGTGCTTGTAGTTCGCTACATCCTTCCTCCAAGGTTTCTTCCAGAGAGGAAGTTATACTTTCCTCAATTTCTTTTTCTATCTGGTATGCATGTTCGGATTGCTCTATATCAGTGCATATCTCTGTAGCTGATGTCAGCAATGTTTTAATTATTTTTATAATGGCACTGTTGCTAGTGCTAGTGTTGCTAGTGTGTACCATGTTACTTATCACAGCAGTTTTCAACTCAGCAACAAATTGTCCAACTGTTGGTTTGGCACTAAGGATTCTCCAAATCATTTCGATGCCATTGAGTGTGCCAAATTCATTTTTAATGGGAGATTACCCCGGAAACATAAAAATTCGGAGGTTTTAAAAACAAATTCATTCTATTGAACATTTGCAGATGTTCTGTAGAGTTTTTTTATCTTTGTGGAAATTTTTTGTCCTCTTCTTAGATCTGATGTCGACGAGTTCATCCATATTTGTTATTAAATTAGCTGTTGCCACAATAGTGCTGTAGTCAAGAGGTTGCAACACATGAGCTGGAAGCTTGACTATTGTAACCCATTCAGATGCGGCATACTCAATCACGCTTAAATCAACATGTGTCGAGTGGTCATCAAATATAAGAAGTAAAGGTCTTCTTTCGTCTTTGGTTGCAGGAACTAACACTTCTTTCATATTATTTTCAAAAATCGTGGTCTCCATCCACCCTTTTTCACTGACAGCATATGCTGGTTTTACATTTTCATTAGTATAGAGTCGCTGCGTCCAAAGATGTTTCCCTTGGAATGTTATCAATGGTGGTAGTTTATCTCTACAAGCATTTGTTGCTAGCAGAACTGTTGTTTTACTGCGCTCTGGTCCGCTAGTAGTTTGCGTTGAGTGAAAACCTTTTTTGCAAATAATTTTGCCTTTGACAGGATTGTCGCAAAATGAAGTTTCATCAAGATTATAAATCCGATGAGGTTTATCTTTGAGATCTAGCTCTTCGTCTATTTGTTCCAGAATTTCAAAATATTCGTAGACAATGAAAGTCACACGCGTTACGTCGCGATATCTCCACAGCTTGAGGTTTTTTAATAGAAAGATTGTTTCGTCTTTGGAACGCATAGAACCTGTCTTTGCCAGGTATATCATCCTTAAATGCGTATGTATGCCATTTCTACGTACATATTAAGATATTAAGAGGCTTCTTTTCTTGTCAAAGAAAATCCGTTTCTTTCCATTACATGAATACTTTCAGCAATTCGTTTTTCAAATTCGAGCGTAAATACCGTAGGTCTGCCAGGAGTGTATCGAAGACAGGTACAGTCTGTCAAGAAAATCATGAAAAAAAGGAGGGTGCCACTATCTTTTATACGGCATCCCCATATATTACAACCGAAAAGTTTTGATACTTTTTATTTTATAAACTGATTTATTATTATGGTCCCTTTACTGTCACATTTTTTAAAGTGCATGCTTTTATTGGTATGCGTAATCCTTGAACCTTGTATATCCCAGCAACATGAATTAGCTAAATTCGCATACTTAATAATTGAGATAATTTGACTGTGCATCTTACAAGTAATTAGGGAAAGCAGGTTTTACACAAGACCAACCTTGACAGACAGCAGAGGCAGACATTCAAGGTGAAGAAATAAAACAAAAAATGTTGATACATAGTTATTATATTTTGATTATTAATCTGAGTCCAAATAATCTGAGTCGAGATATTCAACTCCCGAAATGTTGCCTGAAGCTCCTGCGTAATTAAATTGGTCCATTTCTGATTCTTCAGATTCACTGGAACTATCATCGCTTACTGAGATGCCAAATTTGTCTATATAACCGAAAGTTTTGATACTTTTAATACAGAGATCCTCCACGGGTAAAATATTCATTTTCTATTTTGATGACATGGTCAACATAATTTTTACATTCCTTGCCAACTTCGCAACATCTTGACCACAAACATTCTTTTGTGCGATTCCCTTTTTTACCATTGCCCAATCTAATTCATTCAATGGGGTTCAGATCACAATGATAGGGTGGTAGTCTTTCCACTGTACATCGGTTCGGTTTTATGTTTATTTACAAGCATCAATAAGGATGGTTTCCGCAACGTTTCATCAAATGGAATATTATTTTCCAGTAGCCACAATTTGATTTCAAAAACTATTGATGCAGATGTTGGTGCCTGGGGCAAAAAACTTAATCAAATAAAAAAAAATTCAATCGATTTTCAGTTGCAACATAAAAAGATAAGTAATAATGTGAAAAAAAAGTATAAGAAAGAAATATTATAATACCTTGTTGGTTATAATGTATGGTGCATTATCCATCACAATTATTGATGGTTTAGTTATGTTGGGCACTAACATTTCAGATACCTATTTTGTAAAATTATGAGCGTTCATCTCAGAATGGTAATCATCTTGCTCGTTTTTACCGGTAAATATTAGTAGTGCATTAGGCATCAAACCATTATCATCTTCAGCATGCACAATTATCCATCTTTTCCCTTTAGATACATCTTGTTGGACACTAGAAATATTAATAGACTGCCAACATTTACTTAGCTTCTAGGACTCGTGTATGTAGCTCTCATCCAAATAAATGTTTTTTGGAGCTCCTGGGCAATCTTCTGTTTTCAATCTTGTGCTTTAAATAATACTCACGTTTTGAAGCAGTAACTGATTTTTCTATGAGAGCCAGTCTGTTTGTTTAGCATTTCCTAAATTTAAAGCCAATAGAAATGAAAACTTGTCGTAAAAAATCATGGCTGCCATCAAAATTTAATTCTTCCTTCGCCACTGCCAATAGTTTTCTTGGTGAAGACACTTCTTTCTGCGCTGTATAGAAAAAAAATAATCATCGATCTGTTTCTTCGGTCGGCCTTGCCTGTGTTTCCAAGGCATGATGAATTTACCTCCATTCTGCATACCTTCGTCCACTGCGCTGAATTGTGCTTTTAGAAACACCTGAAACCAGTATAGGGCATGTAAATAATAAATACCTTATTCATATCTAAGTAAATAATGCCATCAAAAACCTAACTTGTAAAAAAAACAAGTCTCGCAACTCAGTTCTACTACCTGAAAAAGTTGTGAGATCCACGTAATCCCAAGTCGGTTAATATATTCAGTCCCTACTTCAGGGTCCTTCTGTTTTAAGTTATTACGTAATTAGCTAATCTGACAACATCTTAGAGTGAAATAAATTGACTTGGCCATCGCATGAAAGCACAATGTATCTCACAGTTAATACATATGATATTCAATTCGATTGCTTGCTGCGATTGCCAAGTCAATCTATATATTTAAACATAAAAGATTTTTGATTGTTTAGATCATATAAATTATAACATTTAAAACAATAAAATACAACATTTAAAACAAGTGATAGATATGAGATTAAAGTTTTTTTTTATTGTTTAGCATTGTAACGTTGCACGTACATGTATGCATAATTATAATTAAACGGTTTATTAAAATTAAATAAACATTTAATAAACTAAATAAAAATAAATTAAAAGTTATTAACAAAAATAATTCTATAATTAACTTAGGTATCCTATTAATAAAACAAATCAGTAAACTAAAAGAACGAATTAAATAATAAATCAAATATTAAAATATTGTATTTCGAACAAACACTCTGACGCTTCGTTACTCTATGCGCCTTGCAACTCTCTAGCGTCAGAGTTTTACCCGGCCGGTATTATTCCACGGCGTCGCGCTCCCGACCATTCTCCGCCCGAGCGCCCTGGGAGGCGCACACTACCACTGCAGCCGCGTTCACAAGCTCTGCTTTGTGTCCTCGTACGCGCTTGCAAATTTTAATCCCATTTTGGAAAAAGTTTAAAATAATATAATAATTCCGGCACTGTGGCCGTATAGTTTTTTCGTTAATTCTCGTCACCGAGACCTCCGTATCGTCTTGCACCCCGTAAGGGTAAGTGTTGAAACGTTACCTAGTTTTAAGTAGTGAAAGTGTTTTATAGGTAGTGTAATTTGATCATGCCAGGCTGTTTGCTTTTAGCTATTTAATTGCCACGTTATTAGTGTTATTTGCATGTAAGTAATGTATGTAGCCGCTGTGCGCGTTGGCAAAAGTACCGTTACAAAATGGCGTCTCATACATTTCGCACCGCGATCAAATATCGCAAGTCACCATCATGTTTCAACCAATGCACAGCCTAAATTAGTTATCCTGGTACATTTAAACAGTATTTTACACTTGCCGTAATTTTAATTCATGTGTATTTTAATTGCGCCTCACCGCTATGACGCTTGCCTTCCATTCCGCCTTGTAACTCCGTTCTGATTATGAACACCCGCCAGCTACTCTCTGTGCTCCCATCTACTGCTAGCCTGCGATATACCGGGGGTTCATAATCGGCGGCATTTTATTACCTGGACCTAAATGTGGACGACGTTGTTTCCAGGGTGCAATTTTACGACTACAACCGTGGCGGTCGTCCTTCTTAAGAGGGCCTAGGCCTCCCCTCGACGCCGCCACCGCCACAGCCAGCTGCCCACGGCGCTCCCCGTGAACAGTCCAACCCCCCCGGCCCTGCTCGACCACCTCGCGGCCACATAGGGGAGTACCTGACCCTGCCAGTGAAGCCAGACGGGCATTTTTTTTAAATTATCGGAACCACGCCCACGACCTTTTCTTTTACCAATATATAATTTTTTTTTATGACTGGTTGTTGCCTCATTTTTCTTCTGATCTGATCTTCATTGCCTCAGATAACTGGTAAAAATACATGTTTTTACCAGTTATCTTTGCTGTTCGACCGTAAACATCGTCGGATTGAAACTTTCCCGCTTGAAATTCGGCCATACACTACCTTGTCACTGACTTGTCTGGTACCGCTCTTATACACTGCGTTTCATTTTTACGACACACACGCCATGCGCGATTTTTGAGCGTTTTTACTATAATTAAGGTTTCTGAACTATGAATTAAGGAGACAAAAGTGGCTTGTTATTCGAAAATAAAGAGATTAACCTGATTGGACACCTACAAAACATAGTAGATTATGCTCAATACATTTCAAATCAGAAGATGTGTTTGATAAAAATTACTTAAATCGCTAAATACGTAATACCTATAAAATAATACAATATTATTGAAGGTTCGATTTTCTTGACGATGACACACGCATCCATACGGTCGGTCCACCGATCGGTGTAGCACTGAACGCGTTACGCCCTTTTCACATGTATCCGGTCACGGCGCGGTCTCCGTGCCGTGCAACCGTGCTAGCTCTTTCTCATGTATGCGGTTTATACACGGTCGCCGGCTATGGTAGTCGCAAGATTATCGAGAATTTCGGGGAACGACGTCTTTTATCATGGAACAAAAAAGATAACCTTACTCCTATTGTATCGACGTCGTCAGCGTCGACTTCATTACATACGTCAGAGAATATATTGGATATATCCGTACTATACTTTGAGAAAGGAAAAGGGAGATTTTTACACAAAGTTTATAGATCTTCGAGAACATGAGGATACATTTTTCATCTATTTTCGGATGTCAAAGAGCTCATTTGATGAGTTACATGGACGTCTAAAAGACGCTCTGCAGCATCAAAGCATCGTAAGGGCTTGCATCGAGCCTGTTGAAATGTTGGCAGTTACTATTAGGTAAGTAAACAAACTAAGTAAAATATTAATACCCTTTAATTTTAATAAAAACTAGAAAACATGTTAATTGACAATTTGATATATATCGGTTGGCAAAATCAATCTCAGAGAAGTCGGAGCCTGCGTAGGATGATTGAAAGTCGTTCGAAGACGGATTTTCGAAATAGAAGTGCGCATAATATTGACGTGTACTTGGTGATATCATATTTCCTTCTGCTTGTTTTTGTATTCCTTGAGGTTAATAGTAAATTCTTGATGGACCAGGTAACGGCGATTGAGATAGTGTCGGGCGGGATACTTTGGTAGTAAAAGATTGAAGTTGCGGTGCATTAAGACGACTATGTTTAATGGTCGTTATTAGTTGTAATATTCCCATTTGGAATTTAATTATTTCGTCTTCATTGAATGATGACAATGAAGGTATTATTCCTTTAAAAAAACACAAATGCCGGTCCTCCGGCTTCTCTAAAATATGTAACAATTTTTTGTCAATTTCATCTATCTTTCGTTTACGTGAACCGAGCTGTTGTTGAGGCGGTGGTGGTGATTTAAACTGGCTGCTACAATTGCTTTCCGTACTGTCTTCAACATTATTTCCTCTTGAAAGTTTTTCGACCCGATCAGTAGGTAGGCTACTTTCTGTAGGACGTTCACAAAAAATTTTGTTTAAAAACTGTAATTGATCAAAATAAACGTATTTTCGTATAGTAGTAGCACCGGCTCCCGATTTTTTTTACAGACTTTTCTTTGTTTAATGATTTGTGATAAGAATCTCGGATATTTACCCATCGTTTCATTACTTCTTTACCTGGAAACAATATAAAAAAATACAAATGCTATGCAGCATCATTATAACATTGCTCTGATCCCATGGTAAGTATTTATTGTTTATTTTTTGTTTCAGGTACTTAGCTAGCGGGTGTACTTTCACAGACCTACATCTTAACTACAGACTTGGCATTTCAACCTAGTAAAGAGATGTGGGAAAAAAATATCCGAAGAGTTCGAAAAAAGAGCCAATTTTCTGCATTGCATTGGTGCAGTGGATGGGAAACATATTAGAATTATTAATCCACTTGGTTCAATGTACTACAACTACAAAGGATACTCCTCAATAGTTTTGATGGCCGTAGCAGACACAAACTACCGCTTTGTCTATGTGGACATAGGAAGTTACGGTAAAGATTGCGACTCTTCAATATTTAAGAGATCATCGCTGTGAAATCAATCATAAGAAATGAACATGAACTACCTACTAAAAATGTATTAGCGGAATACAAGACGTTGAAGTGCCATATTTCCTAGTTGGTGACGAAGCATTTGCACTTCACCAACATTTACTTCGTCTGTACGGTGGATGTAATCTTGCAATTAAAAAAAGAATTTTTAACTACCGCCTAAGCAGAGCTCGCAGATATGTAGAATGCACCTTTGGCATCTTGTCTAATAAATGGAGAATATTCCACAGACCAATTAACGTCAAACCTGATTTTGCAGTCGCGATCGTCAAAGCTTGCGTTGTACTACACAACTTTGTTCGTGATCGAGATGGTTACCAGGTGGAGGACACAGATTTTATTACAGGACTAGAAGATGTCCCAAGACAAACCCAGTCACGTGGAGGACTTACACCAAACAATATACGAAACATATTGAGTGACTATTTTGTGTCAAATATATGGGCGGTCCCTTGGCAAATGTCAAAAATATAATGTAATAAAATAACTCACCAAACTTATTCTTTTCATTATCATCTAATTCTTCGAAACTACTATTTAATCCTATACATACTTCTTTCCACGCTTCTTTTGTCTCGTTCCTGTTTTTATAAGACGCGATGGTTTTATCCCATAAAGTAGGACGCGCTTCAACTAGACATTCTGCAACAATCGTCCGTCCGTTCCCCTATGATTTGCCTGTCGAATGGCATTTGCGCTCGCAATGCAGTACCGCGCCCGTGTTCATGTGAACGCGTCTATACAAGTCCATACAAGACTATAAAGACGGTTGCCGCGTCGAAACCGTGCTTATAGTGGATGGTCCGGTTCCCACTACGCCGGACCGGCAGATCTGCCGGAAACCGGACACCGGACAGAGTGTTCACATTACATCGGATCCCGGAAGAAATTCAGACAGTCAAGTACATCTCAGTTGAATTTGGACCTGCGCGCACAATGGACGACGAAATTGTTGTGTTATGGTGGTATCTTAATAGAAGGCAAAATAAAAGAAAACATTGGGTACACCCTATTTTACGGGAAAGATTTTCACTTGGAACATTTGAAACATTAATGGGTGAACTTAGAAGACACGAATCAAAGTTCTTCAATTATTTTCGAATGACAGCAACCACTTTTGACGATTTACTGGGACGACTAGACATAAGAGTACGAGATACAAGTTTCAGAGAATGTGTTTGCCCAGAACAAAGATTAGCCATATGTCTAAGGTAAGATTATTTTATGCACTAGATTGCGTAATAATAGTTTTGACGTAGGTACCTACGTAAGACTGAATGAATGAATGAATGTTTGCTATATATGTTTGTTTGATGAATGTGAATATATATAATGTGTGTGTGTGGGAGGGTGTATGTACTTGATAATCATTATGAATTAAAAATGCAAATAACTTATTTAAGTATTTATTTGTACTCAAACTTAAATCCCTTCAAAATCAAAGTAATTTGAGTCTTGGGAATGTATGGAATGATTACTAGATGCTGATGGCGAAGCTGGAATCGGATTCGATGTCTGAGATGAAGTTGATGGTATAGATGTTGTTGCCTGTTGATTGACGCTATTATGTGTGTAGTATCCAGAATACTGATCTGGTCCGGTCATCTGATTATATGAATCACGCCAATGTCCGTAATTTGGTCTCTCATAGTTCCTACTTTTAATTTTTTGCAACATTGTCATGACGCTAGCTTGAAATTCTAAAGTCTCTTCGATAGTTAAAGTGTTCAAGATTGGTATAATGCCTGTGAAGAAAGACAGATGATGGTTTTCCTTTTCTGGGTTTATTCTGGAGTCCAAAAACTTTACCATCCTGTCATTTACCACTTTATTATCAATTTTTCTTTTATCTTTAATTAAAGGTGAACGAAAATTTGATTCCATGCCTAGTTCAGTCTCAGTTCTTGCTTTTTTTGAAACTGACTCATGTGGTGGTCGAGGTTCGGAGACTTTTTTCAAAAACATTAATTGCTCGTGATATAAATAATTTCGTGTCTTTTTGGCCGAAGATCCAGATTTAGACTCATCTTTTTGTTTCTTTACTGTCTTAAGCCACGAATCTCGTATATTATTCCATTTAGTTGAAACCTGTTTTCCTGAAATCAAAAAAAAAAATATCATAAAACAATACAATTTGTTTCTTGGTGACGTATAAAGTAATAATTTATTAACAAAAAATAGTTTTTTTTTTCAGATATTTAGCTTCAGGATGTTCATTCAAAGAAATACATTACTCATACAGAGTAGGCGTTTCGACAATAAGTAAACTAATAAAAGAAATGACCCATGTCATTTGGGAAAACCTAAAGACGGATTTCCTTAAGCTACCTGATACTGAGAGAGAATGGGAGGACATCGCTTCAGGATTCGAAAGAAAAGCCAACTTTCCTCACTGTCTTGGAGCAGTAGATGGCAAACTTATCACAATTTTGAAACCAGCCAAGAGTGGTTCTATGTTCTTTAATTACAAGGAGTATTATTCTTTTGTATTAATGGCAGTTGTCGATTCAGAGTACCAATTTTTTATTAGAGTGGGCTCATATGGCAAGGAATGCGATTCTACTATATTAAAGGATAGTACATTTTGGCAAAAGATCAATGATGGTACTTTAAATGTACCAAAGCCTAGACCGCTTCATGAAAACTTGCACGAAGAATTACCGTTTATACTTGTTGGCGATGAAGATTTTGCTTTAACACCTAATCTCCTACGTCCATATGGAGGTACACATTTGAATACTGATAAAAAGATTTTTAACTATAGACTAAGTCGAGCAAGAAGGTATGTTGAGTGCGCTTTTGGTATTCTGGCAAATAAGTGGCGAATAATCCATCGAGCTATAGATCTGAACGTAGACACAGCAATTCAAGTAATTAAAGCTTGTACAGTCCTACATAATTTTGTAAGAGAAAAAGATGGTATAAATTTTAAAAGTTACCAAAATATAGAACATAGACAAGAACAAGAAACGACACCCATGGATCGGAATGTGTCGAGTCGAGGTGGCCCTAATGCCAACGCTATACGGACATCATTTACTAATTATTTTGTTTCGGATATTGGTTCCGTTCCGTGGCAGGCAGCAGCTATAAAATAAAATTTATCAATGCATTTACATTTTATCAATAAAACATTAAAAACTCACCGTACTGTTTTCTTTCTTTTTCATCCAGTTCATCGAAGTTTGGTTTCAGTATTAAACATACTTCACGCCATGCTGCTAACTTTAAGTTTTTGTCTTTATAGATGTCTTCGGTCTTATCCCACAGAACAGGTCTCTCTTGGACAAGCGTAATTAAAGTTTCTGCTTGAATATCCATGCTAAACGTCTACTTTTACCAGAAAATGCGAGCCGAATGACGTGAGTGGAACACGGGCGGCGCGAGGGGAGCACGAGTGGGGCGAGCGGGGGACAGATACCGGCACAAACTCGTTCACATTACTCCGGGCCCGGTCGTTCTACCGGCAATTCGTAGTGACAAAACGCTCAGTAAAAATGCCGGGTTCGGCAAAAATGCCGGACCCGGGATAATGTGAATAGCACAGTAGAAATACATATAAATTGTACAGCCACTAGCCCTTCCGGCAGATTTACCGGCGCGACAGATCTGCCGGTCCGGCGTAGTGGGAACCGGGCCGATAAGGACGGCTGACATGCTAGCACGGCACGTTCGCCGTGCCATGTGAAAGTTCTCATTGTTGGTCATATATTACTACTTTACACGGCACGGCGACCGTACCGTGGCCGTGTGCATATGAAAAGGGCATTAATATGTTTCCATAGCACGTCGGTCGACCGGCGGTGCGCATGCGGACGCGCTTGACTGACGATCTTCGTTTTTTTTTGCGCCCGAAGCAAATATAGGCAACCCTCCGGAAAGCGGGGAAGGGAGGTTGTGAATGCTCATAGCATACCGCGCAGCCGGCTGCGTGGTTATGTGGTGACTTTTACCCACTAAACCCAGCCTTTTAGGAAATGGCTTAACGATCTGACTAGAGATCTCTAAGCCGTATACGAACGCGACCCTCCTTGGCAGAAAGGAGGGCGCAAGCGGCGAAAAGCCGCTTAGAAGAGTGCCTAACTAAGGCAGATTAATGGATGTGTTATGTAGGCTCGGCCTGAGCCGCCAGGAGGCAGTTCAGGTCAGCCGAAAGCTTGTTGGGGGGGGGGTCCGAGAGAGAGTTTCTCGGTCTGCGCACACTATAGCGAGTGCGATAGGGGCTGCATAGGCAGCTGTCTCACGAATGAGATGATTTGGGTGGGACTCTGAGGCTTTGAAAAATCTCTCAGAGAGTGATTTAAGGAATTGCTGGATTGTTGGGAGCTCTAAGTCTCGATGTAGGTCGGCATTACGGACATAATAGGGCGAGTTAGTGGCCCTACGACAGAATAGATTTTGAACTATTTGAAGTTCATTTATAGCTTTGGGCTTAGCATGTGCGAAAATGGGGGCCGCGTAGGTCATGACAGGTCGTATGCAGACCTTATATAGGGTTCGCTTGTTGCGGAGAGACATTTTACTGTGTCTACCCATGTAAAATCGTGCGGTGCGAGTAACCTTCTTGATATGGGGCTCGAAAGTGAGCCTTGCATCAAGGGTGACGCCTAGGTATTTGGCTTTAGTTTGCCATGGGACAGGGGTTCCTAACATCCTGATTGGCGGAGTGGTGGTGAGACGACGTCGTTTATATTCGAAGCAAACGGTGGAGCTTTTCTCCGGGTTTACGTCGATACGCCATTTTTGGAACCAAGCTCCTAAGTCGCTTACTGACTTTTGGATTTTATTCCGAATCTGTGGTAGTGAGTTGCCTTTGGAGTAAAGGGCTGTGTCATCTGCAAAGAGGGCTAGTTTGACACCATTCGACGGGATAGGGATGTCGTTGGTGAATAGTATGTATAGGAGGGGAGCAAGCACAGAGCCTTGAGGGACACCGGCTTTTATTTGACGGGTAGAGGATAGCGTGCCTTCGTGTCTAAAATGAAAGGTACGATCCTTCAGATAGGAGGCTACAAGGCGAACGAGACGGTCCGGGAGGCCTAAGTCGTACAGTTTGTAGATAAGGCCCTCGTGCCAGACTCTGTCGAATGCCTTGGCAATGTCAAAGAAGACCGCGATGGTTTTTTGACGGCGAGGGTAAAAACCGCTGAGGATGTATTCCACTATGCGGTGAACTTGCTGGGGGCACGAGTGTTTGGCTCGAAACCCGAATTGTTGTGGGATGACAAGAGGGTCGCCGTCTGTGGGAAACAAATGGCGCCTCAAGCGCACGAGAATGACTCGTTCGAAAAGTTTGCCCATGGCCTTAAGGAGGCTGATGGGACGGTGATTGGAGGGGAAGTGGTGAGGTTTGCCTGGCTTGGGAATGCCAATGACAGTTGCCTCTTTCTAAGAGGTGGGAAAGTAACTGAATTCGAAGCAGGCGTTAAAGATAATGGCCAGTAAGGTACTGGGAAGTGTTTGAGGGTGGTTGGAGATATTTTTTGGGCTTAAGTCCTTTGATGGTGGATGAAATCTCATCTTTGGACACAGTGATAGGGTCAGAGGTAGGGGGCGAGGGACCTCGTCCTCCACTAGTTGGATGTGTATGGGGTCAGTGGGTTGTGAGCTAGGAGAGCATTGAGCGGCGACGCTGTCAGCGAAGCACTCAGCCTTTTCTTCGTCCTCTGTGACTATTTTCCTAGATGTGTCTATTTTCCCCGTACTGTCGAGGGCGTCGGAAGAAAGGGTTATAAGAGGGTCCTGAGAGTCTATAGCCGAGGCTAGAGACTTCTTGAAGCCCTTCCAGTTGGTGTAGGTTTTGGAAGTGGGAGTTGGAGATGGCTGATGGCCAAGAAGGAGGGATACAGGACGGTGGTCGGTCCTAGATCATCGAGAGATCGATTGCTCTAATGTTAGGGAGACTCCTTTACTGAGCAAAATCTCACGTCAGGAGCGTAACAACGTTAACAATGTCGGGATAGTGGGTGGCAGCGAGGGGGGCTGTAGACAGTCAGGTCGAGAGACTGAGTGATACTGAGCAGCACCCTGCCACTACTGGTAGTAGTGCGGCAGGTCCATTCAGTATGCTTGGAGTTAAAGTCTCCAAACATAATGACTGAGTCGCCTAATGCAAGGATGGCTTCGAAATCACTCTTGACGGGGGAGGGTTCCGTTAGGGATATAGCAAGAGGCTATAATGATTGACTGGTGTCCAGTCATAGCTAATCTAGTGATAGTGGCTTCCATACTGGTAAGCGTCGGAGTAGATATGTGGGAGCAATGAAGGGACTTTTTGTGATAGATGGCAGTACCGCCGCCTTTGCGGTCGGGTCTGTCGTTACGTAGAAGTGAATAATTTTTAATAGTAAGGCCTTTAGAGACCTTGGGGCTGAGGTGGGTCTCCTGAAGGAGTAGGAGGTCGGCTTCGCGATCTCGTAGAAATAGCCTAAGCTCTGGGAGGTTATTTTGCAAACCGCGGATATTGAATGAAACAAGCGACAAACCCTTTGGTTTGATACGACCGTGAGATATTGCGGGAGCAGAGGGCTCCGGCATAGTTTTAATTACAAGGACTTTAGAAGGTTGATGTGCTCAGTAAGAGCAAGGAGACGGTCCTGAGGGGACTGAGCGGTGCGCAGTTTACCCGCAAGGATAAGGATTTCCTCTAAGTTGATCCTATTGAGAGTGTTGTACACTAGGTTTAGAGATTCTACTACAGAGTCTGCCTGTTTTTGTGGGTCGGCGGAGGGCCGCGGGATATTTGATTCCTTTTGGAACCAGGGGTTTATTGGAAGCGGCGCAGGCTGGGAGCGCGGAAGGCTCATAAGGGGGCCGAGGAGGGCCCTGAGGTGGCCGATAGGGGCCCTGTGGGGGCCGGTAGATGCCCTGTGTGGGCTGAGATGAGCCCTGAGGGGGCTGAGGTAGGGGCTGGCCCTGGCTGGGCTTGCGGCTTACAAGAGCCGGGAAGGTTCGGTCATTGACCTGGGGTGGAGCTTTGCGGCTCGGAGGTGGGCGAGGAGCGCGAGGGCAACCTCTAAAATTGGCCGGATGGCCTGTTTGTCCGCAGAGGACACATGAGGGTGGGGCTTCGGCGTTTTTGGGCCGTGGGCACTCTTTCGAGTGATGGGGTTCTAGGCACTTAACGCACCTGGGTGGAGCTGAGCAGTTGGCAGCTGCGTGCCCATAGAGTTGGCAGCGGTGGCACTGCGCTGGGTAACCGCGTCGGTGTGGGGCTTCGACCTTAACACGCGACAGGCCGCACACAGTGCGTACCTCGCGGAAGATGGCCTTCGCCTCCGGCACATTGGTGAGAACGAGGAGGGCGAGGTTAAATCTTTCGCCCCTGCTGCTGTGCATTTTGTGCACAGCTTCTATGGGGAAGCCTTGGGATTTAAGGTCTTCCAGAATGTCCTCGTTTGCGAGTTCATAGGGAACTCCGCGGAGGACTGCCTTGACCTTCCTTTCTTCGGCGAGGGCGTATGTGTGGTAGGACACACGCTCGGCCGTGAATAGGCGGGTTATGTTACGGAAGTCTTCTATAGACGCCGGCATGATTTTGATGGCCTCGCCGACATTGGTGGCTTGGTCATATTTGAAACCCTTATCGTAGAGGGTTTTGGACAATTGAGTGAATTTGGCCTTGTCTCTGAGAAAGACAGGGGGCGGGACTTGGTTTTTGGCCAGTTCGGGAGCGCAGCGGGTTGCTGGCTTGGCGGTATTGTCTTTCGACTGAGAGGCGGCAGCGCTTGGGGCTGCGGAAGTAGGGGCAACGAGGGAGCTGCGGAGGTAGAGGCAGCGGCGGAGGGTGTGCGGGCGGGGGAGTGCGGGGAAGTCGCGGCGCGTTTCGGGCCGCGCTTTGATTTCACTAGCGTGAATTGGGCTTGAGTCGGTTATAGTTCCTTCGGAGTCTGATGAATCCGAGGAGCCGGTGGAGCTGAGGGCGGACCTCTTCCGGGAGGAGGAGGTAACGGACGTGGTGTCCGAGTGCTCCATATCGGAGTCGGGGTACGAGGGCGAGTCGGTCTGCGGGGCAGCCGCTTGGGTCGCGAGGAATGCCGCGACGGCGGGTGAGGGGACGCATGCCTTAGGGGCACGGGGGGGTAAGATTGATCGAGAAGCTGTCAAGGTCTACGCCTTGGGTTTTTAAGAATTGGTGGAAAAGAGCCAAAATTTGGCTAGCATCCATGGTAGACATGTTGGGCGGACCGGGGGGGGGGGTGACGATTTGATTCTTACGAAAACTAGAGGTCCCTGTTCTGAGAAGAACAGGGCCTTGGGGGCAGATGGGGAGGACTGACGTTCTATTCCAAGAAGCTGGGGTCCCTATGTTCTGAAAAGAA